ACCACTGGGATGCTAAGTACTTTGGTTAATATAAGATTGTTTTAGTGACTGTTCTGTTGCTGTGATGAGACACCATGACCACAGCAACTCAGAAAGGAAAGCATTTAACTGGGGCTGGCTTACAGTTACAGAGGTCCAGTCCGTTATCATCACGGGTGAAAGTGTAGTGGTGTGCAGACAGATGTGATGCTGGAGAAGTAGCTTGAGAGTTCTACATCTGGATCTGCAGGCAGCAGGAAGAAACAGAGAGACACTGGGACGAGCTTGAGCAGTTGGAACCTCAAAGCCTACCTCCAGTAGTGACACACTTCCTCCAACAAGGACTCCTTGTGTTTTCATGTGGGTGCTGGAGATCAAATACAGGTCCCCAGGCTCGCTAGGCAGGTATTTTTATGGACTGAGCCAACCCATTAAACGCTGTTTCTGGTTTCTGAGACTCTTCTCTTCCCAGTGGAGCCCAGGATGGCTCTACGTAGCTCAGGCCGCCCTCATTTTCCTTGCCTCAACTCCTAAATGCGAGGATTACAGGCACCCACCACTATACTCAGCTATACAAAATGATTCTTAAAAAGATCAATAAAATTAAAGCTGTGTTGAAGGAAGACTAGGTAACAAGAACATAGGCTCACACAGAATCGCAACATGTTCATTAAAACCATTCAAAGGATGATAACAGTAAAATTTGAAAAGTTATGTATCAATAATTTTGATGACTTAAGGCAACTAGAAAAACAAATAGAAATGTTTCTTTTAAGAAACAAATTATCAGACTAAACTAAAACTAGAAAAATAAGGGAGTCTTTACCAAAACAAATTTAATTCCTAATTTAAAGCAGCCCCAGAGAAAACTTCAGGCCTAAGTATTAAGGCATAAATAACAGAAATCCCACACAAACCCAGAGGTGAGCAGAAAAATATTTCTCAACTAATTTTACCAGGCAGATTATGCTATTATGATGAGGCAAAGACTTGAACATAAAAGTTCCAGGAACTTCTTAAAATGGTTTTCAATCAGAAACAACGGAGTCTCTCATGAATGGATAGACTGTTTTTTTTTTTATCCATGCAAAGCAACAATACTGAGAAATAAAAGAACCCCCAAAGTGGTAACAATAATGATGTCTGTGTAAGATGCTGAAAGAAGCAGACTTCAAACAGTGCATCCTGTGTAATTCCAGCCTCACGAAACCAAAGGAAACAGCAATGTCCTGTAAATTGTTACTTACTGACTACTGAGTCAGTGACTGTCTGGTTCTGCGAAGTGGGGGCTAGACAGCTGGGGAAGGGACACTGTCATGTCAAAAAATGTTTTCACTGTGACTTTAAAAATGTTGATAGAACTGTATACACTTGTTAAAATCCATTGTACCTCATAGTTAAAATATGTGTGTTTTGTGTAAATCTATTACGATAAAAGATCTTGATGTGTAGAAGGGATATAGCACAATAAAATAACGTGTTGTTATAATAGAAACAACTAAAACATATGGACGCATAGAAGTTGGAATTGAGATGGAAAAATATATTCTACCCAATGCCAACAATTGGCTCTAAGTAAAACCCAAATAAGCTAACCAAAATCACCACCACTATCACCCAGCTGGGGTGGCTTTTCTTGGGACATTGACAATAGTGGGAGAGAGAATCTCATAATTATATGGGCAAATGTGTTCACTATAAAATGCCTTAAGTCTTCAAATAGATAAAACTATGAAATTAAAAAAATAAGATGTTGCTGAAATAAGCCATATTATCCCCATGAGTCAGAGAGACACATCTTTATATAAAAGTGCTTTTGACTAGAAGGTGTGTAACAGTTATCCTAATCATTCCCAGAAGAAATGCAACGTAAGCAGAAACACCACGCTCACGGAAGGGGAAGGTGGAACAGAGAGGACAGGTGCATGCGTGTTTTGTCTGCATGTATGCCTGTGCATCCCCACTGCCTGTGGAGCCAGAAAAGTCTGTGAGCACCACCTGGGTGCTACTGAACCCAGGTCCTCTGCAAGAGCAGTAAGTGTGCTTAACTGCTCAGGAGCCTCTCCAATCCAAAACTATTTCCTTTTAAAGGGAAATATTTAGGCGTTCTAGGAAAGCGGAAGTAGTTAAGATCACTTGGAAGGCATCATCAAGAAGGGGAACTCCGGAGAAAAGTGTGCTACCTAACTCAGTTGAACCTGGCAGAATAGAAATGTTTCCCTTGGTTGTTTGGGTGATAGGAATTCTGTGTGTGATATCTTAAATTCCCTGTGAGCTATGAGATGAGTTCCACTCCAGAGGGTGAGCATGAAGGTAGAGTTAAAGGAGGTTGGAAAAATTCTAAAAGGTGGAACAAACTCTGGTGAGTAACATGGAGGCTGAGTTATTAGTCACGCACGTTACATGAGTATCCACAGTCTTAGGACTCTTTTCCCTCCCTGTCCACACAGTAGTGCTCCCAAGAAACATGAGAGCAACTGGACAGATGCATGCACACATCTGGGATGCAGAACCGGGCAATGGGGTCGGTTTTGGTGACAAATGCTGCAGTTTAAGCTGGAGAAGAAAAGACGGGAGGGCTGGTCATAGAAAGCAAGTGGTGGATGAGTGGTTCACAGATGGCGACTTGGATCTCTGAGACAGGGGACTGGCGATGAGAAAAGCCAGGAGGCACAAGCCAGCTGTCTAAGGACATATTGTTAACTGGGTGGGGCCCATCTTTAAACTTCCAGCATCCCAAATACCTGAACAACTGAAGACAAGAAATATTATAGAGCTTCTAGAATAGGTTTCCTCGTATAAGGAAATTGTAATTGCTTATTATAAACAATGCAGCATAAGACTGGGCTATCCAGTGGTAGGTAGACAGTCATCTGCTAATTAATGCTGAGTTTGCACCCAAACTTAAAAACCCTGTATTGCTTTTCTAGTTCTGTTTCCTGAGGTGAATAATAAACAACAGAGTGATTATCGTGAGTCAGTGGACCAGTACCTGGTGCTGTGGTCACATTGGTTCAAATCCCAGAGATAGAAGAAAGCAATCAGATGGCAGCAATGCCTCTCAAAGGCTTCATTTCTTGCTGTCTTCTCCTACTTCAGGATTCAGGGAAGGCAGAGGATCAGCCCCAACCCCAGACTGCAGTTTTATCCCCAAAATTGATCTGGTTTACAAACTACGATGTGCAAAGGCACGAGGGAGTTTTCACTGGGGTGGCAAAGATGAATTGGATTTTATTCTAAAGGAACTTTTGAGTCTGATCTGGGGGAACAAAATCTAAGACATGGGAAACCCCTAAAAGTGAAAGTTTAAAACTAAGCTATGAGAAAGATCTAAGAAACAACTAAGGGTGGCTGTCTTAGTCTGGGTGACTATTGCTGCGACGAAGAACCGTCACCAAAGCAACCTGGGAAGGAAAGGAGTTATTTAGCTTACACTTCATCATTACTGTTTATCACTGAAGGAGTCAGGACAGGAACTCAAGCAGGGCAGGATCCTGGAAACAGGAGCCGAGGCCATGTACAGGTGCCGCTTATTGGCTTGCTCAGCCTGCTTTCTTACAGAACCATGGACCACCAGCCCAGGGATGGCCCCTCCTACCATGGGCTGGACTCTCCCCCATCAATCACTAGTTAAGAAAATGCCTTGCACCTGGGCCTTACAGAGTCATTTTTTCTCAATTGAGGCTCCTTCTTTTCAGATGACTGTAGCTTGTATCAGGTTGACATAAGACTAGCCAACAGGAGGGTTTCTGAAGAAAGCTGCCTTTGAACTGGGTACTGAAGGATCAGGACAACTTCAGGGAAAGGGGGCACAGATGCAGGCTGAGCTGCAGGGATAGTCCAATGGAAGGTAAAGGGGGCAGAGGGAGTTTGGAATTTATGAAGGGGAACGTGTCAGCTGCACAGTTTCTAGTTTGTTCCACCTGTAGAGGCTTATCTGTTGGGGAAGGGCTTACGGATCTCACCTGTCCCTGAGAACTTACCAGATAAAGGCTGATGAGGGAAGACTAGTCAGAAACAAAACTTGAGTTTACCCACGCTCCTGTAAGCAACCCGAATGACTTTCAAGGAAACACACACACACACACACACACACACACACACACACACACTGTGAGGAAGGGGGAATCAAGCTGGAAAGACTAGGTTTTAGGGGAGAGGAGACATACATTATCCATGAAAATGTCATGAGGAAAATACTGTGTATAAACATTAAAGGATGCTCACTTTTGAATATGGAAACACACACACACACACACACACACACACACACACAAACCTAGGCTTCATAAAAGGGTTGGAGTACATTCAGTTTTAAGGGTCTTGTGAATATCCGAGTCTGATGGAAAGTCTTCCCCTCACTTCTCAGCCAGCTAGAGATTCCTATTCATTTTGAAAATACGAGTGAGAGGTAAGCAGGTAAGTGAGATTTTGGATGCACGTCTAGATTCATTTTCAGATTATTTTGTTATTCTGCGCCTCAGTACAGCCATTTATTCTATTTTTGACAAGGACCGTGTATATACCTCAGGCTGTGCTGTAATGCGCATGTCAGGCTGTCCTCCGAACACCCTCAAGGCTGCCATGACAGGCGCGTGCCAGCTGACTTAAAACTTTCATAGTGATGCTCGCCTCACTATGAGAGCCGAGCCGGGGGCCCTGGCCCTACGGGGACCCCCCGTGTGAGCAGCCGCCCGGCAGCAGCGGCAGCAGCGGCAGCGCAGGCCTCAGGCTCCTCCCCAGCCCGCCCAGCGGCCAGGCGATAAAACCCTGTTCCAGCCCGCGGCCCGCAGCTCAGCGCACGCGGCGCCCGTCTCTAGGCAACGCCAGCGCCTTGGACGTCTGCGCAGGCTCCGCTGCGGCCACGCTCGTTTTCAAACAGCTGTCCAAAAGAGCCAATCAGAGGCGGCTCACGGAGCTCGAGGAAGCGGATTGGTCGGAGGGGTATCCCAACGACCAATCGTCGTGGAGGGGAGCTGGGCGGGACCGGAAGTGAGCGCGGTGATGAGGGGCGGTGGCGGCGGCGGGCAGTTTGAACGACGCTGAGGTGGACGGCGAGGAGCGGCGTCGTGCGAGGACGGGCGCTCGGCGGTGAGGAGTCCCGGGCTGAAGGACCCCGGAGCCCCGTTCTGTGAGGGACGCAGGTGAGCAGCGCCCTCTCAACCCGGCCTCCCCGTCCGGCCCCACGCGCGGCCGCCTCACCGGGCCGGAGACCCCCGTCCACGGCGCGCCTCCCCTCATGGCTTCTAGAAGCTTCCTAGTCGCTCGGCTGAGGGGCATCCCTGGGTGCCGGGCCGGATAGCTAGCACGTGAGGTAGAACAGCCGCCGTAACCCGGCTGAGCCTCCTTGGGGGCCAGACGCGGGGCCCTCCGCGTCTTCCTCGAGTCGTGGTGACCTCCCCCGCCATCCAGAAAATTATTCCGCTGCTACTCCATACCTGTAATTCACCGCAGGGTAAATATCTGCCATGCGGACCCTGGGAGCCTCGGAGTTTCGTCTTACCTCCTCCCCCATTTATTGGTTTTACTACTCTGGCTCCAGTGATATGATTTAGATGTCTCAGACCTGGATTGTCCGCACCTCCTGGCGATTAGGCGATCGCATAGAAAAATGTGTACGTGTGTGACTGCAAACGTGACGTAGCTGTTTGCGAAATTTTGAGTTAGAAAAGCAGCCTGCCGGTTTCTCTTGCTTGTTTCTTGTCTCTGGGCTGTTCTCTTTTGTCTTGTTGGCGTGCACCACTTTTTGTCTGTCTGTCTGTCCGTCCGTCTCTCTGTCTCTCTCTTTTCGAGATGTAGTCCTGGCTTTCCTGAAACTAGCTCTGTAGACCATGCTGACCTCCCTCCACCCCCGGATAAGGCTGTGGCATCTGACTCTCATGATTTCGGTGACTGACTGGGTTGATGTTTTTGGTGTATTGTACTCTCACTCTTGAATGGACAAGTCATCTCTTAGAGCAGGGTAAATTGTCCATTGTTCGTTGAGTATTCCTTTCAGCAGTTCCTGTGAGATGTTGGTTGTGGAGTTACCCACCATGTCTTCTGAGATCTGGGACAGAACCCCGCCCCCCCCCCCCTTTTTTTTTCTTTTCTGGGCAGGAAAAAGTTTTCACGGCTCGATACCCACCCTGTTGGGGTCCTTGCTTCTCTTTATGTTTTGGAAATATTTTTTTTTTCAGAATATTTCCAGTTAGATACTGTTTGAACATTCATGCACGGAAGGGGCTCAGAAGGCAGTAATCTGCGGTTCCTTTTGTATCATAGGCGAACTGACATAATAGTTAACATGTACGAAAAATGTACTAGGAGATGCCCTTTCGATGGTCTAGGATGTTGCCAGCTTTTGCAAATGAGGAAACCAGGACACAAAGAATAACTGAGTGATTGGCTTAAGGTTGCGTGTTATTTAAGTGACAATGGTGCGGCTTAAATGTGCTTTGTGTCACTGTATGTTCCAATGGAGAGTGCCTTTACTGCTTCTGTAGTAACCTGGCATCCACTCTTGGCTGGTACGTGTATTAATTTAACAAATACCAGCTTGGAAAGAGCTGGGCATCTTGTGAGAAACTGACTGGAAACAATGCACTGCACTGTTTAGGGATTTCAGAAAGGCCTGCCTGGGGGTGTAAAGGATGAGTGATGGTGGCGTGAAGAAGGAGAAGAACATCTGTGAAATAATGGCGTGCTTGCCTCTCATCTAGGTAGGAGCTATTTCACCTGGAAACATTACAGCAAAACATTTGTTTAAATAAAGCACATAGCTATGTAGGAGCTTAAAACTGAAAAAATAACAAATGAAGAGAAACCAAGTAAGTATGCTAGATAATCTCTGAGTTTCCTTAACTGACTTTATTCCTTTCAGTTTACTTATGAATGCTTGAGAAATAAAACAAAATGAGCTGGGCATTGGAAGAGTGGAAGGAAGGTCTCCCTACAAGAGCTCTTGAGAAAATTCAGGAGCTTGAAGGACAGCTGGGCAAACTGAAGAAAGAGAAACAGCAGAGGCAGTTTCAGCTTGACGCTCTGGAAGCCGCACTGCAGAAGCAGAAGCAGAAGGTACCAATCACTTTCTCAAGCAGTTTGCTGTCTTTGGATTGGTTCATTTTCTTGTAGAAAAGCGATCGTGTTATCTCCAGGTGATAACCATCTTTCTCTCAGAGATTTTAGATTGCCTCTGGTTTCTTCATCTGTGGCTTTATTGCTACCCACCTGCTGATATTTAGGGTTTAATTTCATTTGAACATCTGTTTGGGAAATGGCTTTTTTGCCTTGTACAGTAAGGTCAAGTGTCTGAATTTCAGATCTGAGCTGTTATGGTATTTTACAGTTCAGATGGAGAGAGCTCTCAGACAGTGAGCTTTTTACTTTGGTGTTTTCAACATCATCCCTTCAGGGAGTTAAATGAAAACATAAGACTTCTTAAAAATGAAAACAAACCTGTTAGCCAACTCTGTGGTAGTACAATTATGGCTTCTAATAGAGTTTTGTTCATGGAAGGTTTTATTTTATTTATTTTTTTTAAATTTTTTTTGTTTTTTTTCGAGACAGGGTTTCTCTGTGGTTTTGGAGCCTGTCCTGGAACTAGCTATTGTAGACCAGGCTGGTCTCGAACTCACAGATATCCGCCTGCCTCTGCCTCCCAAGTGCTGGGATTAAAGGTGTGTGCCACCACCGCCCAGCTGTTCTTTTCTTAAAATAACTAGATTCCTCAGTGAAACTTGAAAGTGAAGTGTTTAGGACAAGTTATAAGGCTTATTTTAAAATTCTCTTCGTGTGTGTATGTGTTGTGTGCGCCTGATTGTATGTGCACCATGTGTGTAGTGCTTAAGGGCTCAGAAAAGGGCATCAGATCCCATAGAACTGCAGTTCTAGACAATTTTGAGCCGTATGATATGGGTGCTAGGAACTGAACCCAGGTCCTTTGCAGAGCAGCAAGTTGCTCATATCCACTGAGCCATCACTCCAGCCCTTTATGTTCAAATTCTTGAAGGGATGTTAAAAGATAATATAGTATGTAACTTTATAGAACTTTTCTATTTATATACTCAATATTTTGATTATTTAAATTTCTGTTTCTGTAGCATCACCTCCCCCACCCCAGGGTGAGGTTTATTACTACCGTGCCTCAGAAAGTTAGTTTTAGAGTCAGACTTACATATAATACTTGCTAAGTACACAAAAAAATTATTTTCTTGTCAACAATCTCTGTTAGGTTGAAGATGGAAAAACAGAGGGTGCAGACCTGAAAAGGGAAAATCAAAGATTGATGGAAATATGTGAAAATCTGGAGAAAACAAGGCAGAAGATTTCTCATGAACTTCAAGTTAAGGAGTCACAAGTGAATTTTCAAGAAGGTCAACTGAGCTCGTGCAAAAAACAAATAGAAAAACTGGAACAGGAACTTAAGCGGTAACTGAGTAATGTTTGTGTGGACTTCAGTGCCAAGTGTCTCAGACCCCCAGCTGAGAGCCCGGCCAAAGGCTGAGGGACTAGGCTCACACAGAGTTGTTAATACTTGTAGGGCTAAGGGTCCCAGTGTACAGAAAGACAAACACTAGAGGGCATCAGTTGCCACCCCTTGCTTTTGCCAAATAGTCAGGGAAACTAAAGCTGCCAGAGACCATCACTTGCCTACCTATAATTTCTGTCAGGATGGAACAAAAGAGCCCCTAAATGGATGGGTACCATTTCTAGCCATATTCCTTTCTTGCTGGCTATGTTGACTTAGTTTGTACATTTCTGTCATATAATATCTGTATATTAAGTCTCTAAATTTTTTATTACATTTATTTGTGTGTTCATGCACATATGTGGAAGTCATTGGACAGCTTTTGGTAGCAGGTCTGGCTTGGTGGCAGATACCTTTACCTGCTGGGCCATCCTGCCCACCCCAGGTATCTTGTTTTGAAATGATATAATTAATGTCTCTGGTTTCATAATTACAACCTATGTTTTAAGAATATCACTTAACTTGTGCTTCTGAAGTTCTGAGCTCTTTTGTGTCTTTCTTTGATTTAGATGTAACATAAAATTTGCTTGGACTGTATTCCCAGTCCTCTATACTTCTTTGCTGCTATAGTACCTATGATAATTGGACCTCATAATATTTTGATGACAGGGGTACTACATTTTACATCTGGCTTAAAAATTACGTCTCACTAAATGTCTGTTGGATAAAAGGTTTCTTAGAGGCAATGTTTTGCATGCGCTTTGTTCTCTGGGAATGTATAGCATTTGTGCTTTGTAGCCTTTGCTGTCATCTAGCTTATTGATCTCGGGTTCTTTTGAACAGGTGTAACTCTGACCGTGAAAGAAGCCACCAAGCCGCACAGTCTGTAGATGTTTCTCTGAATCCATGCAACACACCACAGAAACTTGCTACAGTTCCACTCACACCAAGCCAGTCTTATATCGGTAAAGATTTTTATTTGGTTTTAAATTCTTCAAGAGAAATGAATTAGTCCACATTTGAATTCAGCTTTTAATTTGGTATTTCAAAAATATCATCCCCAGTTGCATGTTTGTTTACATGTTGAATTATGTTGAGCTGTTAGGAGTAAGCAGTAACCCTTACATTTTACCTTCTGCAGTATGTTTTAAAAGTTTCGAATATGGGAGACACCTTAATTTTCATGTTAGAGTAATGTGATTAGGATCTTGATATGTTGTTTTAGTCTTCTGTTACATATTAAGGTACTTATTTCAAAACTTAGTGCAATCATTGCTGATGTGTTAATTAATTCATTCATAAAATGATTAGTTGACATAAAAATTTTATTTGATTGTCTGTGTTTAGGTTCCACATACGAAGATCTAAAAGAAAAATATAATAAAGAAGTTGAAGAACGGAAAAGATTAGAGGCAGAGGTTAAAACTTTGCATGCTAAAGTAAGTTCATGTGGTCCCTGCAGAAGAAGATGCATCTATAGAGACCCTTTTCTGTAGCAAAGAAGAGTGATCTGCCTTATCTAGGGCTGGTATATTTCTCTTACATTGAGAAAAACTACAGGGCTCATTGTTGGTGATTATTTTTGCTTGTTTTCAAATAGGGGTAGCAAGATGGCTCAGCAGGAAAAAGCACTTGCTTTGTGAACCTGACTATAGGTTCAATCTTTGGAACCCCATGTGGGAAGGAGAAAACTGACTCCCCAAAGTTATCCTTTGCATACATACACAAATAAATAAAACTAGATAGGAAAAAACTGGACATTGTAGAATATGCTTGTGATCTTAGCACTGAGGAGACTGAGGCAGAAGAATCTTGAGTTGAGTTCTAAGCCATCCTGACCTACATTAAGACTTTGTCTTGAAACAAAAGATAAAGACACTAGGTGAGGTTAGTTTTATCTACAAATATTAAATGTTCATGGGGCACCAATTCTTTATTAACCCCGAGAATAAGGACTGTATTTGGAGAGAGAAGGACTAGGGAATTATTCTTTTGTCCTGATACTTGCTGGCTTACTCCTCTGATGGAAGGCAGTTACTATAAGAACTGTGAGTTTATTGGTAAAATTCTCACTTCAGAGGAGAATGTTGGCAACACAGTGTCCCGTTTCATTTAGATAGTTGCCAGTAGGTTTTTTTTTGTTTGTTTGTTCTGTGTTTTGAGACAGTCTCCTGTCTTAGACTGGCCTCAAACTTACCATGTTGCTGAGGAGGATTGCCTTGAAGTTCTGAACCACCTTCCTTATTCCCACAGTATTGGGATCACAGGTGTGTGCCACTAAACTTGCTTTATGCTGTGTCGTGGATGGAATCTCAGGCTTCATGTATGCTGGCACAATACCCACTCTGCTGTGTCGTGGATGGAATCTAGGGTTTCATGTATGCTGGCACAATACCCACTCTGCTGTGTCGTGGATGGAATCTAGGGTTTCATGTATGCTGGCACAATACCCACTCTGCTGTGTCGTGGATGGAATCTAGGGTTTCATGTATGCTGGCACATAGTCACTCTGCTGCACCCTTAGGTATAAACTCTAGTTTTGAGATGGGTCACTGAGCAGAGAAGTGGGTGAAAATGTAGGATTTCAAAACCTGTGCTACTTTAGAGGCCACCTTCAAATCTGATCTGGAAGACTCCTTCACCATTGCTGTGCATGTTACGTCATTTTCTAAAACAGTAACAACAACAGAAGCCTCCAAAACAGCTTAGTTTGGTATCAGTGGTACATTACTGCCGAACAGAAATTTGGTGAAATGACACAATTCAAACAGCTTAAGGCAGAATTTATAAGTATGTAACTAAATATTGAGGATCAAAAGGTACCTATTTCTTTACACATCCTTAAACCTTGCTTTGAGGTCACCAGGACTGTTGTACCAAAGGCATTATTTACCAAGATAAATAAAAATAAGATTCTTCAACTTGTTCTAGAGACATGTGCTTTATCATTTGGTGCTCGTTCTGCTCTATAAGGAATGTGAATCCTATAACCATTGAACGTCTCCAGTGTTCAGAAGAGTGCTTGCTATAGAATTATCACAACATGCAAGTGTTGATTATAAAACATCTACATGATGTTTCTGGACTGCATTACCAGATAATGAAATGTGAGATTTGTGACAGTTCTGTAGGTTGATACTTAGTGTAAAAGTACCTTGGCAAAGGAAATCCCATTTTAGAATTTAAGATGAAGGTGAATAACGGTACATAGTACCAAGATTTAACCCTTATGAATTGAAGGCACCTCAGTTGGTATTTATTGCTTGTTCTTCAGTGATGAGAAGTCTGACTGTTAGGACATTGTACTACTAGGTCTTGAGATTTATGATGCCCTACACCTGGTTAGCATTCAATATTAGTATGCTGTTCAAACATCATCGTCATGGAGTTGTGGTTTTGTGTTTTGTCTGAAAAGAAATGGCCCTAAATATTGAGATTTCTAGGTTTGGGGATATAGATCTACAGTAATGTGATTACAGATCATGCTCAGGGCCCTGGGTTTGATCCCTATCACTGGGGGGTAAAAATATAAAATAAAAAGAAAATTGAGATTTTAAAGGACTTCTATTTTTACAGAAAGTGAGCCAGCCTGTTCCCCAAGCCACCATGAATCACCGGGACATTGCAAGACATCAGGCTTCCTCATCAGTATTTTCTTGGCAACAGGAAAAGACCCCGAGTCACTTTTCATCTAGTTCTCTGAAGACCCCGCTTAAGAGAGATGCCTCTGCTTCTCACTTCTGGGGGGAAAAAGTGACTCCTGACAGATCAAATCTGCAGATAGAGAAGATAGGGAAAAGAGATTGCAGCAGCAGTGACAGTCCCAATACTCAGCTTTTGGAGCAGGTTAAGGCCCAGAATCAAGGTAACTTTCTGACATAAATTTAGTTTAAATGGAGGTTTTCCTAGATCATTTCAGTCTGGGGTGTGCATTGTATATTTTGTTAGACACATTGGTAGTTCACTTTCCAGACTCATGTTGTGAAACTCATGTTGTCATTTCTGTAATGACAAATGACATGACAGTTTTGGAATGAACTTGTATTTATATTGAAAACATGGCACTGTGAGCTGTTAAAGTAGTCTGAGAGGCGTTGACTTATTTTCTCACAAGCAAAGTGAGTAGGTTGGTTACAAGTTTGCACTCTTCATGCTTCTCACCTGGCTCTGTTGAAACACTTAGAACGGGCCTGTGGTCTGAGCAGCCTTGGCCAGAGGTGTGGCATGCCAGGCTGCCCGTATGGGAGCAAACCTGTAACCTTGGCTGATTTACCATGCTGCAGCTGACAGCCAATCATATCAGGTGGTGTTTTGGAATCTACTCTTTGGACTATGATGATTTCCAGGGCTGTGATGTATTGAGAGTCACCATCAGTGTTTGCTGGTGAGAGCTGTCACGCTGCCAATGCCATTGGAGCCAGGACTATATGTGCAGGGAAAGGGAGGAATATGGTTGTTAATTTGGCAGTATAAGAGGTTTGCACTGTCTTGATCTTCAGTGTAGGCAAAGCTCCCAGGTCCTGTAGGAAGGTGAGCACCTCTCTGCCTAGCACAAGTTTGCATTGACATGGGCATAAAGCAAATAATAATGTCTAGTGTCTAAAGTCAAGTGATTACACAGGGCATTGCTTTTGGTAAGCACTACACCTCCATAAGGTGCTGCTTGCTCTGTTCCTCCGTGAAGACACAAGAAGATGTATTTCTCTGCTTTCAATAGGGTAGTTAAATATACATGTCAATGGAATGCCGACTGTTGAAGTTAAATCCAATTAATGTAGTTTCTACATTAAATCTAATTTAATGTACATAAGAGTTATCTCAACAAAGATTTAAGAGTAGGTAAAATAAATAAGTTGTGAACATTTTGTGAGTATATGTATGTCTTTGTGTATCTAAATTGGAATGTTCTTTTCTTTTGTGCTTTTAGACCTAAAAAGCAAGATGAATGAGTTGGAACTACGTCTGCAAGGACAAGAAAAGGAAATGAAAGGCCAAGCAAATAAATTTCAAGAGTTACAACTACAGCTCGAGAAAACGAAAGTGGAATTAATTGAAAAAGAGAAACTTTTGAACAAAACCAGGGATGAACTAGTGAGAACCACAGCACAGTATGACCAGGCAGCAACTAAGGTACTTGACTTTCCATGAATGATTGAGAAATTGTCATCTTTTATACCTAAATTTATAAAGTAACTGTTTGTAAAGGTCTTTGAAAGCGCATGCTGCATGCTGGCTGATGTAGGCGAGCTAGTAGGCTGTCTGTGGTTGGGTAGATAACGGGACCTGTCTTGCTAGTGTCTTTCCAGCTGAGTGACACTGAGCAAGTCACAGTGACCAATGATGCACTCAAATGGAATCGGAGGAATACTGAAGCTGTAGGATAGTTTCTGGACACAGGATGGGATTTCCATGATCTGCTCTGGGACTCAGTAGATGCATGCTAACAAAGACTTTTCTTAAGGCTTCGAGTGAGGTCATTATTTGAGGATCTGTTACTTTAGCTCAAACCAACCTCTGGTCTGTTTTTTTCTCTTTTTTATTAACACTAATAAGACTTAAGTTATTTATTGAGTGCTGCTGTATGTTCAGCATTATTCTAGTCTTGGGATGTGTAGAGCGGTAAAAATTACTGCCCTGTAGAGGCAGAGTATAACAGGAATGAAATAAATTTAGAGACGAGTAGTATAATAATATTTAAAAAAATAATAAACACATTGCTATGTAGTAACATGGAGAAATGAATTACCTTTCAAAACCAACCATGATGGATTTGGTGCTTTCTGGGCCCAATCTCTCTGAGCCTAGTGTTCGGCTTATATTGTCATTGTATTTGAAATACCCACTTTCCTGTGATTCATGTGTTTTCTTGCCATCTACTCTTCTGGCATCTTCCTCAGGGCTCTTTTAATGTCATCATTTATGTTCTTGGCTTATGGCTCTTTCATTTGAATATTGAGAGTTACTGAGAAGCCTGAAAAACCATGTCTGAGGTATCCCTATGGATTTCTTTTTCCTTGCTAAAGGAAAAAGTAACATTTCTGAGTTTATAGGTGAAAATTACTTCTGTAGACCTGGGTCTCTTTGCTTTCCCTGGGCAGGTTCCTTTTTCTTCCCTAATTAAAATTTTGTTTTAAGATAATTGAAGGTTCATATTTAAGTTATATGAGTTAGTAACTTACTAATGTGGCAGATTATACTGATTGGTTTTCAGATATTTGAATGAACCTTATATCTTAGGAAAAGTCCCACATGATTATGACATGTAACTTCTACATAGATGTGAATTTTATTTCCCAATGACTTGTTAAGGATTTGGGTATCTAACTCTGATGAGAGAGATTTATTGTTTGACATTTTTTTTCCCTTCCATCTTCGTAAGATACTTGTTAACAGGATAATCTTAGATGCATAAAATGAACTAGGAACTGTTCTGTTTTCTGCAAGAAAATGCCATTGATAATTTTTCTTCATGGATTGAGTAGAATTCCTCAATGAAATCAACCAGGCCTAGAGGTTTCTTACATATAAATTTTAATATTTTAATTTCTTCAGTAATTAATGGAATTATGTGGTTTCTACTGAGGGAATTACAGTGATTGCTATTTTTATCTCAGTGGTCAAATTCCTGTCCTATTTTCATTCTAGCTATGTTGTCATCTTTGAAGTATGTTATGCATACAATTAGGTCATTTTTTTTTTGGTCCACTGTTTAATTGGTGAATTTAGCTCATTTACATTTAATGTAACCATTTGCCATGAGTTAAGCCTGTGATTTTCATTTTGCCTTTCCTTTCCTGCTTCTGTTTTTTATTGCTGTTGTTTCTTAACCTTTCAGTGGATTACATAAATTTTTACAGACTTCATAGGTTATTGTGTGTTCATTTTGCTAGCTTTGATATGACACATTTGCCTCCCTTGTTTTTTTTCCTCCCCCATTTATAGTAGTCTTAAATGTCTTTTTAGCTTACACTTAGAACTAATGTTTTACAACAATTGTTAGACATTTAAAAATGTCAGAGATTAATACTTTCTTGTGTTTTCTTCTTTCCTAAGTTCTTCCAGGGTTCCATTTTTGATCTTTACCTTTCTGCTTAAAGTGTTTCCTGTTCCATTGTTAGGATATGTGTGCTTTCCACAAGCTCCTAGTTTCCCTTAGTTTAAAGATGTTTTGATTCCTCGTCATTCCTGAAGGGTATTTCTGGTTGAGGTTTGTTTTGTTTTCTCCCCAGTACTGTTACATTTATGGACTCTTAAACTCTTTTATTTTGCTTCTGCCTTCCCACTCATAAGTTTATTTCAAACTAATGTTCAGAAGCAGTATTGTTGCTGTGAGGTAAGAACATGTCTACTCTTTTTTTCTTTTTATTTGAAGTATTATTACTGATAGCAATACTTTTGTGTTATGATATTTGCCTCGTTTTTGGTGCTACCTGTCATATTTGGTGAAGTCTCTAATCAGATTATTAGTTGTTTTGACTTGGAGAGTGCTGAGACTCTGACTCTGGCTTTCATCTTATTACTATTCCTCCAGGTCCTTAATATTCAGTTTTATTTCAGTGCCTTTTGGATTTCCTTTTCTCCCCAAGTCAGTTTCAGATCTACCCAACTGAAAGTTCAGTTCAACTTTTTCTTTTTGTGCCTAATATGACTTTATTAAAGTTGTGCTGACACCACATTATGTTGTGTGTCATTAGAATTGCTTATTAAATAAAGCAGAGCTAATATACTCTTGTACTCTCAAGTGAGTGAATGTTGTTTGGGTCTTTTTCCAACTAGTTACAAACTATAGTTGAAGGCTGGAAAGAGTTTAAGGCTGACAGCTGCTAACTTGGAACCTAGCACTCATACTTTACAATTGAAAAAGAAAGCTGAAAAGAGTGCTCAGGATCATAAACTACATAGTTGCAGGAACTTGAGCTCTGTGTACGTTGGAGCAGTGGTTTTCAACTGGAAGATTACAACCTGTAGCCTGAAATTTCTGTCCTTCCTGGTCCTGCAGCCATTTAGTCCCAAAGAAACATACAGAGGCTTATATTAATTATAAACAGTTTTGCCTATTAGCTCAGGCTTACTATTAACTAGCTCTTACAACTTAAATTAACCCATAATTCTTAACTATGTTTAGCTACGTGGCTTGGTACCTTGGCTCAGTGCTACATTTTCATCCTGCTTCCTCTGTGTCTCGGTGGCCACTACAGACTGAGCCTTTCCTCTTCCTAGAATTCCCCTAGTCTGTTTGCTCCGCCTTTACTTCCTGCCTGGCTACTGGACAGTCAACATTTTATTAAACCAATACAAGTGACAGATCTTTACAGGGTACAAGAGCATTATCCCACAAAGACGACACCAGGGTGATGAATGAGCCTTTCACAGGAGTCACATATCAGGTATCCTGTATATCAGATATTTACAATTCATAACAGTAGCAAAATTACAGTTATGAAGTAGTAACAAAATAATTTTATGGTTGGGGTTCATCACAACATGAAGAACTGGATTAAAGGGTCACAGTATTAGGAAGGTTGAGAACCACTGTGTTAGAGTATTATAGAGCATACATGACATCTAGTGGGCATTTACTTAATACATGGATTGTGCATCACTGGTACCACAGTAGGATTCAAAATATGTTTGAATGAAGCACAAATGCCTTCAAGGGTCTGTTTTAATGTCCCCATCTAAAATAAAAGGATTGTGGTCCCTTAGGAATACGCTGCACTGTGAAGGAGTTCCAGTAGAGGGTGCCAAGAGTTTGTTTACATTGGTGCTTGGTTTTCTTTCTTTCTTTTTTTTTTTTTCTGTTTGATATTGTCACCCATCAAATAGTAGTCTTAGGTGGTCTTAGTTGTTTTTCCACAGCTTAGAACAGTGGAGGACACAATGAGTTCTCAATCATTAGTTAAGTTTATGTTGATTGTTAAAAATCATATAGTAGTATTCCTTGGGAATTTAAAAACTTAAATAATTATGGCAATGAAGGTATCTTAATGTCTGGGGGAGTGGGTGAATTTGATTCAATGGCTCAAGAATTTAAATGTTTACTGAGACTGGAGAAGTGGATCAGTTGTTGAAGTGCTTGCTGTGGGCCTGAGTGGATTCTTAGCACCCAAGTACAAAACTGGACATTCGTCTGCATACATAGAGCACATACGTGAGGCAGTTAATGTTTTTTTGTATAGAAAGGGTTTCACTGTGTAGTTCAGACTGACATCAAATGGATGATTTTTCCTGTCTCAGCCTTCTGAGTGCTGAGATTACAGGTCTGTGCTACTGTCACAGCTCAGGCTGTCGTCTTAGTTACGGTTTTTCTAGAATCATTTAGTCACCATTGACCAATTTGGTACTGTTCATCTTTAATTAGTTAATAATTGACATTTTGTCTTCCAGCAAATATTGCATAGTGTTTTCTTCTGAATTCTGAGTTCTAATAAATACAGTGCTCACAGAACTGTTAATTAGACTATGGTTGACTGAAGATGACTTAAGTCAGTAAAGTGCTTGTTACACAAGCCTAAGACTGGAGTTTAGTCTACTCCCAACACTCAGGCTTAAATTACCTGCATACATAATATATATGCAGATAGGATCTGTGAATTGACTCATCAGGTACAGGTAGTTGCTGCAGAAACCTGATAACCTTAGTTCAATCTCCAGAACCCATAATAGGAGAAAACTGACTCCCAAAAGTTGTTCTCTGACCTGTATGCATGTGTTATGCACCCCTCGTCATATATGCACACACAATAATTAAAAAATAGCTGCTTATGGTTGCATATGCTGTAATTCTAGCACTGGCACGGGAGGGGGATGGGGTGAGGAGGGCAGTGGTGCAGAGACAGAAGGATCCCTGGTAATGGCTGGCTAGGTAATCTGCTGAATAGTGAACTCTTCCAATGTCATTGAGAGATTCTGCCTGAAAACCTAAGGTGGAGAACCATTGATACTGATGTTGATCTCTGATCTCCGTGTGCATCTGCAAATGTCTACCTTCATACACACATGCACACCCTGTGCGCACACTAACACATGTATAGGAAAATACAAGTGAAGTTTACTAAATTGGGGTACTTTAGAGTGGAGAACTGTTCCCTATTAATAACATAGGTTTTTTTTATCAATGATATATTTATTCTGTGTACATTGGTGTTTTGCTTGCATATATATCTTTGTGAGGTTGTCAGATCCCCTGGAACTGGAGTTACAGACAGTTGTGAGATACTCTGTAGGTGCTGGAAATTTAACCTGAGTCTTCTGTAAGAACAGCCAGCCCTCTTAACTGCTGAGCCGTCTCTCCAGCCCCCACAAAGCTTTCTTATTACTAAAATAATGATTTTGGGGGTTCAGTCATTTTAAGGTGTAGGCAGAATTGACACAGAGGCTTAATATTACTTATAAAAGCACGACTGATAGCTCAGGTTTGTTACTAGCTCTTATACTTAAATTAACCCATATCTCTTATCTGTGCTTTGCCATGTGGCTCATGGCTTGTTTTTCTATCCGTCCTACTTGATCAGAGGCTGGCTTGCATCTCCCTGACTCTGCCCTTCTTCTTCCCAGTGTCCTCTGTGTCTGGCTGTCCTGCCTATACTTCCTGTCTGGATACCGGCCTGTCAGCTTTCTATTAACCAATGAGAGTAACACATATTCACAATGTATGGAAAAATTATTCCATAGCATTAAGGATTTGAACTAAAGGAATGGCTTCAAGACATGCAATGAATCTCACCACTTGAAGGACTAATACAAATTTGTTTAAATTTAACTTTAGGAGAACATCCTAAGTTTTCATGTAATTAATATTTTTAAAATTAGCAGATAACTGTATATATATGTAAGAAAGCAACAACATATTCTTTCTATTGCTTTTGAGAGCATAATTTAAAAACAGCTGTGGTTTTTCTGGGATTCTGTGACCCTTTAGAAATGCAATGGTATAATGGGAGTATATGGGAAAAAATAGTGTGATATTTAACGTTTCTCACAAAAATTCATTATGGGTTGGGCATGGTGGTACCTGTCTTTAATCCAGCACAAGAAAGGTAGAGGATGGAAGATCCTGAGTTTGAGGCCACTTTGGTCAATGTAAGTTTCAGGCCAGCCAGGACTACTTACTTAGACCCTGACTCAAAACCCTCTGTCTCTAATAGGCTTGTTAAGATGCTCTTATAGGAGGGTAGGGAGCTTGCTCTGTTTTGATAGTTCACAAATCACTATGTCAGTATCACTGCCTTGTTTACTTACTGATGTTCTATGTGAAGAAGGTCAGGGGACAACTTTCAGAAGCAAGTCATCATCCTAGCTGGACCAAGAATTTCTGGGCACCTCTTATGTCTTCAACCCCATCTTGCCATGGAATTGCTGGGCTGACAAATGCAAACCATCACATTCAGCTCTTCATGTGGGTTCTGGGGATTGAAGTCAGACTGTCAGCCTAGTGTGGCAAATGCTCTGACCTACTGAGCTCTCTCAGGCCTCATGCTGTCTTTTGATGTCTGCTCGGCGTGCAGTGCTGCTGGTGCATTCTGAGACCACAGCCTCCCTGTCCCAGGGCACACATTGGGAAGTATTTTAAAATGTACTGATACTTAACATCATTGTGCTGTTTCCTCAGTATAAATTTCATACATACTCGGTATAAATTTCAAATTTTTATTCATGCTAATAGAATCATAGTGACCACAGGATTTAGATAATGAATATAAACCTGACTTTTTAAATGAAATATAAAGATCAAAACAGTGGTAAACATGAAATAGACTTTAGGGACTGAAGTTTCCTTTTGTTTTATTTTTTTGAAATTGTGCTTTACGATGTAACCCTAGCTGGCCTGGAACTAAACTATGTAGACCATACTGATTTGAACTCGGAGATCTGTCTGGCTCTGCCTCCTCAGTGCTGGGTTTCAAGGTATGGATCATCACACTGACCTGGCCTAAAATTTATTAAAAACATAAAATTTGACTTCTTTCATTGAGTAACTTGTTTTGTGTGAAACATTTTTATCTGTTATCAGTGTACTACCTTGGAACAAAAGCTGAAAACTTTGACTGAGGAGTTGAGTTGTCAGCGACAGAATGCAGAGAGTGCCAAATATTCTCTGGAACAGAAAATTAAGGAGAAAGAAAAGGAGCTTCAAGAGGTAAGGTGAATGGTTTCATGGAGGAATTTTTCTCAGAAAGACCTGTTGACTTTGCGATTTGGAAGAACTATTTCTTATGATTGAGGACATTATGGAGTAGGCATGCTTTGTGAGCCAAAGTCGCTGCATTTCCCTCATACCTGCATTTTCATACTTTTTCCATCATTTTCTTTTTATTAGCAAGGCCGCTCTCTGGAGTTGGTTTTCTTTATGGGCTTGAGATTTGGTACTGTTGTGGGAAGGGAGTGTCTTTGCTCTCTTGATCCATGGTGAGAAGATGGCTTTGCTCTTCTTTTGTCTTTTAAAGTTATGAGTTGGTTACTTATCTAACACAGTATCTGAGGCAGTCAGGGAACCAAAGGTGGGCTGGCAGGTATTTTGCCAGTATGGGTTGTTCAGGTGCTTCAATCTGAGCATAAATGATAATATTATCCCCCCATTTGTCAGTCACTTAGCAGCATTTATTCCTGTTCTTTGAAATGAAGATCGTTGTAAGTGTATATGATTGATTAGTTAAGCTCCCTTCTCTTCTTTTTCTCCCCTGCCTTTGAACATGAGCTCAGTTAGCCCAGGTTTCTTGAACTCCTGATCATTTTGTTCTCTCTCCCCGAGTTCTGATTAGGGGGTGTGTGTCACCATGCCCAGCTTTGTTATGCCCTGTTTTGTTTTATTTTTAAGCATGTGGTCTGTCTGTATGTGGGCACCCGTGAGTATAGATGCACATGCTCATATATGGGCTTGACATTGATGCAGGATGTCTTTAGTTGTTCTCTACTTTCTTTTTGGAGGCATGGTTTCTCAGTTGAACCCAGAGCTGCCTGATCTACTACTATAGTTAACCAGCTTGCCATGGGGATCCTCTTTCTCTGTCTCTTGGGTGCTGACATTAAAGGTGGCTGCATACCTGCCTGGCTTTTCTGGGGTTCCTGGGATCTTTATTCTGGTGCTCATACTTGGATGGCAAACATTTTATCCACTAAGCCATCTTTCCAGCTCTTATGCCTAAAGTTTTGGTGTGTTTCTGTGCTGAGTTGTGTTGATTACAGCTCAGCTAGTCTTTCCTGCCCTCCCTTCTTCTAAACTGAGATGAGCTGGAAATTGGCTGGCTTCCATGTGGTCAACTGGCGACTCTTTGACCTCTCCCTCTGAGACCTGGATCTGATTATCAGGACCAGTGTTGAGGGTGATTGTATTTGGCATTCAGTAGATGATTAACATGGCTCCTTGTTGTCTCTCTCACTTTTCATATAGCATTGCCTGTTAGGATGCTTGTGCCTGTTTCTGGAATCTTATTTGTTAATGGTTGTTTGATCTAATGTTTTGCTTTTTAGGAGCTGTCCCGACAGCATCGATCTTTCCAAGTTCTAGACCAAGAGTACACTCAGATGAAAACCAGACTCACCCAGGAGTTACAGCAAGCCAAGCATGCACTCAATGTCCTCCAGGTGGAACAGGAGAAGGTAGGGCCCTGAATTTAGTTCTCACAGTCTTACATGCATGCTCCTTCTGTATTTCAGTTGGTCTAGATTTTGTTTCACTAATAATTAAAAGTAGAAATAAAAAGTAATGTTCGATACGTATTTTTCAAAAAATGTAATATTTCAGATTAAACATTTGTCATTCTTTATGGTGAACAATTTCAAAGTCCTTTGTTTCAGCATTTGTGCAGAACATAATTGCTGTGTGTGATGAGCAGTCGCAGGCCAGATTACAACCTCAGACCCATCCTTTCCTCCCTCTTGCTTTCTTCAGTCTCTGAAACTACAGTTTTCTTCCCCGTGTTCTTGGGATTGACTTTTTGCTATTCTTGGTATGGGAGTCAGTCTTAAGTCTCTGGCTCCTGTCATATGTCCTTAGTTCCCTTTCAGAGTGGAGAACACTCTTTATGGCTCAGTTTCTAGAAAAGGGGTGAAATGTGTTGGGTTTTCACATCTGGATCTGAGAGGAAGTCTCTTAATATTCTGGTCATTATGGGGTATATAACAATGGAGGGGGCTTTCCTAAATAGTTAAAGCTTGGACAGTTGTCAGCTGGGTTATTTAAGGCTCTTAAGAGTGTTACCCAGGTTTCTGGCTTTGCATCCCACCTATATTATGATGGGTCTTGTTTTATGTCCCCAGCTTGGAGGTGTCTTCTGAATCACAGGCTGTTTGGTTTCTACTCGGCATTCTGTCTACATGGGTAGCAATAATGAGCTAATAATGAACTTCAGCTATTGTCCTGTAGATGAGCACCTCCTCTGGTCCTTTCCATCTAACTAAATAGGATTCCATTCTTCACAGTGCTTAGGTCAATACTTGGGGTTACTTGCAGTTTTGTCTTACATCTCAAACTAGTCCACCAAACGGCTGGGTCCACCTTTGTTTGTGTACACATGTTGGTGTGTATTTGTATTTTATAAAATATGAATATTTTCCCATGTGAATGATAGTTTATATATGTTTAATTTAATTTTTTTATTTGAAAAATTTAAAAATAATGTAAGATATATTTTGATCATATTCACCTCATTTCTCCTCTTAATGTTTTCCAGATCTACACTTCCAACTTCATATCTCTGTTTTGTTTTTTAAAACCTCTGAGTCCAGTTTGTGCTGTTCATGTACTCATGGGTATCCAAAGGAGTGTGGTTGACCTACTAGGGGCCTTCTCCCAGCAGCCATCCGTTGTCCATAGCTTCTCCCCAGTCCATGCTGTGTTTGTTCACTTAATCTTGTGCAGGTGTTGACCATACAACCATAGCTGCTGTGAGGACGTGACTGAAGACACATTCACCCTGCTCATCTCCACCCTCTGGCTCTTACAAATGTTATAGCTTGTGGTCTTGTCCCGATTACCTAGCATAGTCTAGTTTTGTTATCTATCCCAGAAACTTGCCCATGTGCCCTTCCTAGCAGCTAAGAATAAATTTGACTTGTCTATGTTCATACACTATGTTGAATATAGCTACTTTAACCATGTCCAGTCCCCAATCCCATCTGTATTTGTCTTCTTAATAGTCTGTTTTCAATCAGTAGCCAGAGCAAAGCTTCCATCACAAAGTCAGATCCCATAGCCCCTCTGCTCAAAACCGTGTAGTCACTTGCTGTCCCCATCACTAGACCAGACTTTGCTTGGGTGGTGGACTCAGGTGGCTTCCCTGCTGCCCTGTGGAGTTCATCTTCTTCCCTCCTCTCATTTGCTTCGTTTTAACCATGTGGGCCCCTGGCTTTTAGCTGGATACACTAAGTGGAGGCAACCTCAGACCTTAATTGCAGTTGAACTCCTAGGTTGCTATTTGCTCATGGACTAGGAGGCGTGTGCCTCTACTGCATTGAGTATTTCTGGTTGCTACATCTATCTCCAATCTCAAATACTCTGTTTTATTTAGTGTGTTTAATTTTTCTGTAGTGTGAACATTTGAATTTTCTGGCTCCTTTGTGTACTGTGTAAGTTAAGCCTATGATCTGAAAACAAAGACTTCATTTTCATGTTATTCCTAAATAGTAACTACTTACATAGCACCTATGGGTAGTATAGAGATGATGTACAGTGTTCAGTCTATAGGCAAACCCCAAAACATTCTATAGAATGAGGGTTAATGTTCTTGGGGCTTCTGGAACCATTCTGCAGATATCAAGGGTTGATGACCCATGTTCTCCCAGTCTGTCTCTTTCTCTTTTATCTCAGCTTTTTTGTTTTTGTTATTCTTTAAGAGCAGTTGATTATTTGCAGAGAACATAAATACAGAACTTTGTTATTTTTTCTCTATTGTAGGTCACATCAGTGAAGCAGCAGTTAGAAAGGAGCTTACAAGAATTTAGGCAAAAGCTCAGCAGAACAGAACAAACCCTTCAGGAGAGTCAGATCACAGAGAATGAACTGAGGAGAAGCAGTGAGGTATGTGAGCAGGAACAAACCCCACACAGGACAAAGTATGACAATACAAAGTGTCTTTCTCTAAAAAAAAAATTGTATGTGTGCGTGCATGTACTATGGTCTTGCTCATGGAGGTTGGAGTAAAACTTGTAGGCTTTGTTCTTTTCCTCCTTTGCGTGGGTTCCTAGGATCAAAGTCATGTTAATGTAACAGTGTTATATATGTTGAATATGCCCTTATTTTTCCTTTGAAATGATTACTCAGGCATTTAGCATGAGGAATTAAGAATATATAATCAAGTTTTTATTTGTTGTGAGTTTTTGTTTGTTTGAGACAGGGTTTCTCTGTGTAATCATGTCTGTCATGGAATTTATTTTGTAGACAAGGCTGGCTTTGAACTCAGATCTGCCTGCCTCTGCCTCCTGAGTACTGGGATTAAAGGCATGTGCCACCACTGCCTGACTATAAACAAATTTAAAAGTTTTTATTGTATGGGTATGTATTGTATCTGTTTATGACTGTGCACCACATTTATGCTTGGTGTCCGCAGAGGCCAGAAGAGAGAAGGTAACTGATATCCTAGGACTGGACTTGAAGGTGGCTGTGAGCCTCTGTGTGCTCTGAAAGAGCAGCAGTCACTGCTCTTAAAACCTCTGATCCGTCTCTCCAGCCCCTATAACATCAAGTTTCAAAGTAGTAGTTTTCAACCTGTGGGTCATGACCTCTTTAGGGTCAAACTATCCTTTCATCAAATACTTGCATATCAGATATTTACATCATGATTCATAACAGTAGCAAATTATGAAGTAGCAACGAAATAATTTTATGATTGGGGGTCACCACAACATGAGGAACTATGTTAAAGAGCCACACCATGAGTAAGATTGAGAACCATTGGCTTAAAGATTTTTTTAGACCACTTGAGCGGTGGAATTATGGAACAAAGGAATTGCTTAGATTTAAAGGAAATAAATGAAACTGTCAGTGTGGTTTATTATTTAAGTTACAACTCTGCCTTCTCCCTTTTGCTTCTTTGTTCATTCATTCATCTATCTTTGTCTGTCTTTCTGTCTATCTATCTATGTCTGTTATCTCTTTTTATTCATCCTGTCTGTCTGTCTATGAGTTGGAGTCTCACTATGTTGTTTCAGATGGCCTAAAATCTAAGTAGTTAAATTAGGCCTTACATTCTTAATCCCATGGCCCCTTCTCTCAAGTGCTGGGATTACAGGCCTGTGCTGGCATGCCCACTTGCTCTTTGTTGTTCTGAGATACACTCTGACTGTGTGTCCCAGCCTAGTTTGGAGCCTGCCTCTTCTCTACAATGCTGGGATCTGAATCCCTTTTTGAAGGGTTAGAGTCACAGTGTTTAAAAAAAAAAAATGGAAAATCATAGTTCAGTCTCTGGCACTGCCAAAATAAATAACAAAATCATGTAATTATGAATGGTTTTACTCTTTAGAAGTAAATATGGATCTTAGGATCCATTGTGCAGCCTGGTCCATGTTGCCTATAGATTGATTTCCTGTTCTGTCAGGCAATGAAAGGCTGTGGGGCTAGGGTCTTATTTCTACCCATGTCAATTTGGCTTCTGAATTTTGTTGGTGGTCTGGAGTTTGTTTTAAAGGCATTTAAGAAGCATTTAAGAACAGATGATGGGCTGCAATGATTTGAATAGAACCAGAAATGAAGATAAAACAACAAAAGATCAGTTAGAGGTGTCTTCTCAGATACTGCAGGAAAAAAATGTTTTCCCACTATTGAACTGTTCTTCATCACTTTTTAGCCTGCTGCTGATGAAAGAGAAACAGTTTTGTTCATTACAACAGTTCCTTATCTAGGTGATAAAGTCTAAATATGTTTGCCCCCATGGCATTTCACTGTAAATGAGAACACCTGTCATAGCAAAGAGGAAATTATTAAAGCAGCCAGGAACAAAGGGGGAACACTGCTGGAGATAGGGTGGGGGCATTGAACGCCTGTTCCTCAAGTGGAAGCCATTCAGTCAGATCCTGTTTTGGGTTCATCTGCAATCATTTATAGTGTGTGTTTATTGCAGCAAAACAAATGTTTGCCTTTTGGCCAGTGGGGACCAACCAACAGATGCTTCTGCTAACATTTCCACAGGCAGACTGGCATGGAACTCTTTCCTCTGTGTGCTTCCCTTTTAGCCAGGAACTCTCCTGCGACTCATTGGCTGCCCGTGGAAACATTTTGTAGAACTATAGTCTGGTTCAGAGTCTAAACACCTTTTAACATGACTTACATTTTAATAGGCTGGACATTGTCTTACAGATGTTTCTGAGGACTGACTTTATCCCCATGGGGTCTGGATTATGATACTATCTCTGATCCCAGGCCGTACTTGCATGTGTCAACCATGTTCAAATGAAGATAGTCATGTTTGGAAAGTGCTCAGCTACTTAGGAATTTAACTTCTTTTGGGGATAACAGTAGGAGTTGAAAGGGCTTCTCTGGCTCTTGTACTTTGAACTCTGGTTCAGAGAGCTGAGAATTGACTTGTCAGAGTGTCGATGTAGCTTGGGGATTACAGTAGTGATGGCTGTAGTGGGAGCAATCTGGATGCACACTATTGGGCTACCCATCTACTGTGTTACCTTGAGATTATCCCTTTCTAGTCTGCACACAGATGCAAATAATATTCCTCCCTTTTAAGACTGTATTCATGATTAAGTCCAACACTACATATAAAGTGTTTGGCCCAGTGCCCAGCATGTAAGTGTCTAGTAAATCATGAAAGTCCACCTGCTTGTTTTTTTTCTACAAATGTTAATGACCTTTGATACTAGATTTATGTTCACATGTTGGGCACAGAAGGGTCATGATCAAAAGACAGTACATTTGAGAGTTTTCATATTTAAAAATCTTGCCAGTTTAATTATCTGGTGTCTTTCTGTATCTAATTATAAGTAAGCACAAACAAGTTCAACATGCTTATAGGTTTTGGATGCTGAAATAATGTGACAGTTGTACTGAAATTTTCCTTGACTATGTTTAGTAAACTAATATACTTCTTGCAATTAGAAATTATCAGTGCTGAAAATGTGATTTAATGGCCCAATCAAGGGTAAAGTTAACATTTAGTATCAAAGTGATGGTGGGGTAGATAAGCTGCTCACCCCGCTTCAAGTGCCAGCCTCTGTTGCACTGGGGTTTGGTGGTAAAATGCCACCACTGACAGGCACGATGAGGTAAAGCTTGCTTGGGGACCTTTCTAGGCATAGGGACCTGTATTGTATTAGGTTCTCTAAGGAACATAGTCTGGCAGGCAAGAATGACAGTGTAGAAGGAGAAAGCACTCCTGCTGATCCATCTCATGCCCACATAGGCAGCCTTCACCCAGCATGGGACATATTAAGCTGTGCTTATGGATGGGATCATGAAATGCCACACACTAACGGCAGTTTGTTTTGTCTGGCCCTAGGAAATGATGCTTCCCTTGCTGCTGCTAAACCAAAGCTGCTTTGGGTGGGATTGCTTGCTAAGCTCAGTGCTGGCTGTGCTTACGGAGATTGCTGTGCTTTTCCAGAGTAGTGCCCAATTTTGCAAATCATATGAGGACACAAGAGATGCCTAGGAGAATATATCCTTGTATGCTTAACTCATTGTTGCTAATGAGCTACCTAATCAAGACTTAAGTGGCTGTAGCCTCATGGAAAACTAATTGCTGATGGATGGCAGCCTGCGCATCCATTTTCAGATGCTTATTTTCTAAATTCTAGCCTCTTAAAATTCTTGGGTTGGTCATAACCATAGCATTATAAGCCTGCTGGGTCCCAGGATTGGCTGAACATTCCTTCGTTAGGAACAAATATTTACAAAGCTAATGCCAAAATGGAGAAAGACACCCTAATCTTTTCATTGAGCTTGCTATTTTCTTAAATGTCTGCAGTTATGGACTGAGACACAGAGAGGCCAACAGGCACCCAGTCATGACAGCTTCTCCCCTTTGTGGTACTTCGCCTCTCTTCCCCTCCCCATCTCCTTGTAAGCCTTCTTTCCTGTGGAGGTGCTCTCAGTTTATCATGCACTATCTTCCCAGCTTTCTTATCAAGTCCCAGATTTGATTTGATTCTTTTTGAGTAAGAATAATTTGTAAGTTAAGAAAATAGTAAGTCAACTCATGATTCACCTCTGATGATCTTGCAACTGTTACATTTGGGGAAGAAATACTAATAACAGTGCCCCAATTACACTTGTCAAATGCTTCGAGTGTTCTATCTTTCACATCTGTGATCTCATTAGATGAGTGATTATCCTCAGCCTGAAGAACAAACAAGTGATTATATTTCTGTATATTTATTAATGCTAATTTTAATCAGTTACATTGTTTCACCTTCATGATTATTTCTTGCAAGCTTGAGTACTTACTAGTATGCAGGTTAACCTCTCAGTCTTGATCTATTGCAGCTGCTCTTTTGTTTTCAATGATATCTTAATTGCATAGTCAGTTTCCTAGTATAAGCAGGACAGGATCAGAACACAGTAGACAGTGCAATACTGACAACAGGCTCTGTCTCATTTTAATGATGAAGCGAATGTATATACATGAACACAGCAGCTGCCAGCAAGTTTTCAAGTACTTTCTAGTAGCCAGATTCTCCCTCTTCTTGAATTTGGCTTTGTTACATGGGTACCCATCTGCTGGTAGTAACCAGACTGATAATTGAAGGCAGCCTTCCAACATAGCATTGCCAGGGCCATCTGTTTTCCAACAGTGCAGTAGGGGTTTGGAGGATGAGTCTTAATTGTTTCTTTAAGATTCCAAAAATGTCTTACTACTTCTCAGAAGGGTAATTTTGAAATGTAATTAAAAAAAAAGCCTTATGATTTCTTTCATTCCCTAAGATATGTAGTTCTTAGTTTGTAGTGATATGCCAGTTCTTGAGGGTACAGTTTAATATAGGTAGATATAAGGCATATAAAAAATTAGTCAGAATTTCAAGTGCCTTCCCAGTGTTCCGGAGGCAGAAGCAGGTAGATCTTTGGAGTGTGAGGCCAGTCTGGTCTACACAATGAGACTGTATCCAAAACAAACAAACAAACAAACAAAAATACCAAAAGGGCTGGAGAGATGGCTCAGTGAGTAAAGTTACTTAGGGGGCCAAACTTGAAGTCCTCAGTTCCATTCCTGCAATCCACATGGTGGATGGAATAAGAGAACTAGCTCCCTGAAGTTGTCCTCTGTTGTCCACATATGTGCCATAGCATATTCCGCCTCTCTAGTGTATGCACACACACTAATAAATAATAATAATTTGAGAAACTAAAGGCAACAAGTCTTTACTGGAATGTTTTTACTCCATGTTGTATCAGTTTTAGGTTGTTAAGGAGGAGCAGTGGTGTTTCCATTTGGTGTCTACATTTGTCTGGTGTAGGTTATGATTTCTCAACATAGTGGAATGAAACTACTTTTATGTATCTATTACTTTGCTGCACAACCTTGTGTGGATGCATATTTAATCATGGATCCAAAGAACCTGTGAATGCTCAGGTTCCTTCATCCATTATGAATTCTGTGCTAGCCTGTGATGTGATATATAGATTACTCACTTTCTAGTAGTTAGCTTGTTAGGCGTGTACTGAGTGACTAGGACCACACCTTACTCCATGGAGGGTAATTTTGATGGCGGCAGAGACCTCTATTTTATTTATATATGCATTTTTCATAGCACATATTCCAGTACACATACATGACCATTGTAAACTTTGCTGATGAAAGCATTTCCTGAAGGAAATTTCATCTATAAGAACACTCTTATGATAGTATTCCTTAAGCTGGTTTTGCTGTGATAAACAAAAATTTGATCCTGGAGCATTATGATTCAGTATCATATCATCTCATCTCTTTGCAAAGATATTTTGACTAATCAGGTTTGATAGGAATCTGCAGAACTTTTGTCTTTGATCTTATAAAAAGGCCTTTTCTTCGAAACTAGAAAGTTTGAAGAAACATATTTCCTGAAGATACAAGATAAATCTTAGGTTCAGAATCAGCTTTTATGATGTAAGTTTATTCAAATAAGATAAGCACTTTCATTAGATACTAGAAGGGAAAGTGTATTCTTGACTGAGATATAGACAGGTCTGTGAAGTACCTTTATCGAGGCAGAAGTTGTGACTTGCCTGCACATTTGTTTAGATTAAAACAAACTGTGTTTTTAGGAAATGAAGAAGGAAAACAGTCTCATTAGGAGTCAGTCTGAGCAAAGGGCCAGAGAAGTCTGCCACCTGGAGGAAGAACTTGGTAAAGTCAAAGTGTGTTTGAGCCAGAGCCAGAATTTTGCAGAAGAGATGAGAGGTAAGTTCAGTAATGTTAGTGTTCTATACATTTTTTTTTTTACATTTACTTATTTTGTGTGTGTATGTGTGTGTAGGTCAGAAGGCAGTTTGATGTAAAGAACTCTTCCTTTCACCATATGACTCTTAGGTGTCAAGCTCAGGTATCAGGCTAGGCACCAAGTACCTTTACCCACTGAGCCATCTCAGCAGTCCAGAATTCTGTTGTCTTATTCCCATGAGGAAAGGTTGATGACATTAGTCAATTGGAAAACTCTGTGCTTTCTATATTCATCCCCAAAATGTTTGATGTTTTCCAGCATGATAGTTGAACTTTTAAAAGTTGGAGCTCATTGAGTCCCAAAATGCATAGTTTTTACTACTTTGAAATCAGAAGGATAAGCATTGTTACACAGTACGATATTGGCAGTGTTTTATCACTGTAGCCATTCGTATGTCTTAAGTGTGTTCAGTGCATACAGACCACTGTTCACTCATTAATGTCTCTTAGAAATGGAAAATCCTCTATTAAATGTATGTGTTCCTCTCCCTTAATGCCCATTGTATTTTGATAATTTACTTGACTGAATGGCTTTATTTCCTGGGTTTACAGCCAAAGTGTTATGTTGTACATAGCAAATGAATCTACCATTTGTGCATATTAATTTATAGCATATTTTTTACATAAAATTTTCTTGAGATATTTGAATGAAGAATTTATCTTTAACCTGTTGTTCTGAATGTGTGTGACACTGTTATAGTTTTGCTTTGTTTTCTTTTTTAATTTTCATTTTGTTTAGATTGGGTTTGATTACAGGCTGGGGTCAAGTAATCCTCCTGCCTCAGTTTCCCAAGTATCTAGAAATGAATCCCTGGGGCTGTTTTCCCTTTTCTGTGGCAGCTGGTAGAATTATCAGTCTAAAGCTTTTTAAAGGAAAAAAAATGTAAGAATGAGTTATGACTCATTTTTCAAGATTATCAAAAGTGTCATTGTTTGAGGCCCTCAAATGCAAAGTAGAAGGAAAAGACATGCCTTTGGGGTGCTGTCTATGTAAGTCTTCAACTCTCATTGGGTAGGTTTGAAATTAAGGGATTAGAAATAAGTATAGTTTTTCACTTACTATTATATTATGTTACATATTATATTATTTACTATAAAGGCTTTCAATTATTTCCTCTTTACCCCAGGCCTTTTAGTCACTGCTAGGTGAAAATATTGCCAGGTTGGGGAGGGGGGCTGTCAGCATGACTAAAATAAGGTCGTGATAGGAGCTTCCAAATGAATCAATCTCAGCTCCTTTTTCTACACTTTTTACTAAGGAAGAATTGGAATGTGGGTGGCATTCCTGCTAACAAATAACATACATTTTTAAAAAAGAAATAATTCTAAATACTCTGTAAACTTCCTTGTTCTTTTTACATCATTTTTATTAAGCTATGAAGATTATTAGATACATTACAATACTAAAATTGCTGTTTTTTTCTATGTCTTTATATAAACTTAGGTAATAGGATTTCTAGGTGAATTACTTTCAAGGGCTACATCATTAGTGTCAAATTTTACAGGACTTGAGAGTCTATTAATCTCATTGCTTTTTTCTTTTTTAGTTTAGATTTTAAAATTTTATAAGTCATAGACTAGATATGCTAGGTAACTTCTTTCCCATTGAGTTACACCCTCATGCTATAGAGTATAAAGTTCTTATAAAGTAGGTATTTGTTGTAAACACTGATAACTTTTTGTTCATTTGTTTGTTTTAATAGCTAAGAATACCTCTCAGGAAATTTTGTTAATAGATCTCCAGGAAAAACTAAACCAACAAGAAAACTCGCTAACTTTAGAGAAATTAAAGCTTACCTTAGCTGATCTGGAAGCCCAACGAGACTGTTCTCAAGACCTGCTGAAGAAAAGGGAACATCACATTGAACAACTGAATGATAAGTTAAATAAAATAGAGAAGGAGTTTGAAGCTTTGCTGAGTGCTTTGGAGTTAAAAAAGAAAGAGTGTGAAGAATTGAAAGAAGAGAAAACTCAGTTTTCTTGTTGGAAAAGTGAAAATGAAAAACTTATCTATCAGGTAGAATCAGAAAACGAAAGCTTGCAGAGTAAAATCAAGCACTTAGATACCAGCCTCAAGACACAACAAATAAAATGTCATGACTACAATGAAAAAGTAAGAACACTGGAGATGGAAAGAGAAAATCTTAATGTGGAGATTAGAAACCTCCGCAGTATTATAGACAGTAAGGTGGTTGAGATTGAGTCACAGAAACAAGCCTATTTGGAACTGCAGCAGAAAGCTGAGTTCTCAGATCAGAAGCATCAGAAAGAAGTAGAAAATATGTGCTTGAAAGCTAATGAGCTCACTGGGCAAATTGAAGATTTGGAACATAAGCTTCAGTTACTGTCAAGTGAAGTAGTGACCAAAGACCAGCAGTACCAAGACCTGCATACTGAGTATGAAGCATTGAAGGATTTGCTCAAATCAGGAGGTTCTCTGATGACAAATGAAGGTAATCGGAGAAGTTCTTTGGCTTTTGAACAGCAGCCTGCAGTTAGTGATTCCTTTGCAAATCTAATGGGGGAACAAGGAAGCATGCATTCAGAAAGGAATGACTGCTTTGTAGATGGGGACCAAACTGTAGAAAATGTAGCTGTCTTAAAAAATAGAGTCATTTCGCTTGAAAGTTCCCTGAAATCTCAAACCCAGATGAACTCAGATCTGCACAAGCGGTGTGAAGAGTTGCTACAAATCAAAGGAGAAATAGAAGAAAACCTCATTAAAGTGGAACAGATTCATCAAAATTTTGTGGATGAAACAAACCAGTGCATTGGTAAATTGCAGGAAGACTCTGTAGCTCATCAGAATATTGTTGCTGAAACTTTAGCAACCCTTGAGAGCAAGGAAAAAGAGTTGGAACTTTTGAAAGAAAAATTAGAGGCTGAGCAAAGAGAGATTCAAGAATTAAAGAAGTGTAACTGCCTTCTTGAAGACACTCTGAAGGAGCTACAACTTTTATCTGAAACCTTAAGCTCAGAGAAGAAGGAAATGAGTAACATCATCTCATTAAGTAAAAAAGACATTGAAGAGCTAACCCAAGCAAATGGGGTTCTCAAGGAAGCTAATGAGGCCTTATGGCAGGAGAAAATGAATTTACTCGAGAAACATGAGAAGATTTCAAGCTGTATAGCAGAACAAGAGAGAAGCATTTCAGAGTTGTCTGATCAGTACAAGCAAGAAAGACTTCTGTTATTACAACGATGTGAAGAAACAGAAACTGTGTTGGAGGATCTCAGGACTAACTATAAAACAGCACAAGAAAACAATGCTAAGTTAGAATGCTTACTCAGTGAACGCACTGCTGTTTGTGAGAATAGGAAAGTTGAACTGGAGCAGCTGAAGGAAGCATTTGCAAAGGAACAACAAGATTTCTTAACAAAATTATCTTTCAGTGAAGATCAAAACAGGAAATTGATGCTGGAATTGGAGGTAGAGCAACAAGCTGTGAGGTCTGAGGCCACAGTCACCAAAAACTATTCTAAGAGTGAGGCTGATAGCTTAAGGCAGGAGAGCTCGACTTTAAAGGAAGAACAAAATAAGAAGCAAAAGGAAGTTAATGACTTACCACATGAGAGTGAGCAACTGATGCAGTTAACTCAGACTAAACCTGAACATTATCTTGAAGTAGAATCAGTTGAGAACTCTATAAAAGTAACAGAAGATGAGATATATAAGTGTCGTTCCCAGTATCAGATGGATATTGACACTAAAGTCATTTCTCCAGACAATTATAAGGCACAGTTGGTACGCCTTGAAGCTTTGATTAGAGTTATGGAAGTAAAGCTTGACCAAAGTGAGGAGGAGAAAAAAACCCTGTATCAGGAATTGCAGACAATTAGAGGAGAAGTGGGAACTGTGAGTTCACAGGACACTCAGTCACACGAAAGGAAAGACTGTGAAATAGAAGCAGAAGAAAAGTATGTGTCTGTGCTCCATGAGTTGTCCTCAAGTCAAAATGAGAATGCACGCTTGCAGTGCTCTCTACAGACAGCACTGGATAAACTGAATGAGCTAGGGGAAATGTGCCAAGTACTGAAGGTTGAGAAGTTACAACTCCAGTCTGAGCTGAATGACTCACGGTCAGAGTGTATCACAGCTACTAGTCAAATGGCAGCAAAGGTTGAGAAGCTAGTGAATGAAGTGAAAATGCTAACCCATCAAGATGTTCTTCCACAGAGTGAGCTTAGGGAAGATGTGTCAGATGGTCTTTGTGATAAACAAAGCAATGTGTCTATGGTCTTGACTCCTTTAGACAGTAGCAGTTTCTGTGAGCAAATAACATTGTCAGACAAAGAAGTTCGAGTGCATTTTGCTGAGTTACAGGAGAAATTTTCCTGTTTACAAAGTGAACACAAAATTTTACATGATCAGCATTGTGAGGTGAGCTGTAAGATGTCAGAGCTGTGTTCCTATGTTGACACATTAAAAGCTGAAAATTCTGTGTTGTCAATGAATCTGAGAAACATGCAGGATGACTTGGTAAAGGAAAGGAAACCTGGTGCTGAGGATGGACATACATTGTCACTGTCATTCTGTGGGACAGACAGCCCAAGTCTGACACATTTTGGAGAAGCTGCTTTTTACAAAAATGTTTTAGAACAAACTGGAGACACGTCTCTTCTAAGTTTAGAAGGGAATACTTCAGCAAACCCTTGCAATGTAGATGAAGTGTCTTACAGCAGTCTAGAGGAAGAGAATCTGACCGAAAAAGAAATCCCAGCTACCTCTGTGAGGACTGTTGAGGAACTTGAAACCCTATGTCAGATGTACTTGCAATCCCTCAAGGATCTAGAAGAGAAAATCGAGAGTCAAGAGATTATAAAAAATAAAGAAATTGAAGAGCTTGAGCAGTTACTAAGCTCTGAAAGGAAAGAGCTCGGCTGCCTTAGGAAGCAGTATTTGTCAGAAAAGGAGCAGTGGCAGCAGAAGCTGACAAGTGTGACCTTAGAAATGGAGTCCAAGTTGGCAGAAGAAAAGCAGCAGACGAAGAATCTGTCCCTCGAGCTTGAGGTAGCGCGCCTTCAGTTGCAAGAGCTGGACTTAAGCTCAAGATCTTTGCTTGGGAGTGACATGGAAAATGTAAGTACCTGGGATAGACATGTTGTTTCTCTGTGTGCATGCCTAGTTAAACACTTAGTAAATTCTTACTGGGTTGAGATAAATATGAAATCAAGATTGGAGGATTCTTGAGTTTCAAGGAAATGAATGAAAAACTTACCAAAAATTTTCCAGAGCCAACCAGGACTCAAAACACGAGGAAACTTTATTTGAGGAATAAATGCCCATCATGATTTAAATATTCTCTTATGAAAAATCACTAAATTTTTTTTTTTTAAGACAGGGTTTCTTTGTGTGGTTTTGGAGCCTCTTTTGGAACTCACTCACAGACATCCACCTGCCTCTGCCTCCCAAGTGCTGGGATTAAAGTTGTGTGTCACCATAGCCCAGCATTTTTGAAGTCTGAATTGAAGTCTTCAGAATGTATACTGTCCTTAGTCACTGTTTATTGCTATCAGACTCCATGACCACAGCAACTCTTGCAAAAAAAAATATATATATTAGGACTGGCTTACAGTTTAGAGGTTTAAATTCATTATCAGCATAGCAGGATGCATGGAGGCACACAGGCAGACATGGTACTGGAGAGGTCTATATCCAGATTGGCTGGCAACAGGAAGAGAGCGACACTGGGCCTGGCTTGAGCATTTGAAACCCCAAAACTCATGCCCAGTGACACACTTCCTCTAACAAGGCCACACCCAATCCCTGTCAAGTAGCAACACTCACTAATGACTAAGCATTCAAATATATGAGCCTGTGGGGACCATTCCTATTCAAACCACCACATATACTTTTACTAATTAATGAGGCACTTTTAAATATTCTGAACATTGAGTGATGTGTTCAAGTAGTTTAGTCTCATGTCTTTCAGAGTGTTTTAAATGTTGTAACATCAGTTGTTAAGTGAGATATAAGAAATTATTTGAATGTTAATTTTCTAGCAGCTTTTAGTAGTATCAGTTATTTAAAGAAAATTATTTTTTAATTCCTTGTGGTTTGTCTTTTCTAGTTGACTAGCTTAAGTACTAATGCTGTACAGTTCGAGTTTCACTCTACTTCTGTGAGGTAAAGGTCATAGGTCATATTGTGGTGGCAGTAGCAATAATCATATCATAGCACCTCTTTTTGTAGGTAAATTGAGACAAAACATGTACCTTTTCCAAGAAAGTCCGACTAGGATGAGGTCTTCGGACTGAGAATCTCCTCATAAACACTTACTGCTTTTCTTAGTAAAGAACATGAGTATTGAAGATGACACTAACCATTTTATCTGAAGTTTGTTAATCTCTTATTTGGTAATCACAAAGATATGCTACTCCTTTAATCTGCCTAAACAATTGCAAGCTGTGAAAGAAAGATGCGATTTTCATGTTAGATATAGTTGAAATAAATATCCTTATGTTAAATATCTTACCCAGTGCTTTGCACATAGGTAGAACCCATTGAATATTTGTGTTAACTATCTGAACAGAGAACAGGATAGAATTGAGAGCTCTTCTGTTTAGAGGGGTGTGTTTAGCAGCACCCATATGGGCAGTTTCTGTAAAGTAATAGTTAAACCACTGATTCCATTTTGATTCTTCTGAAAAATAAAATGCTTTCTTGGTTTACATTATGTTTACAGGCTGTTCGAGTCCAAAATGATAGTTATGATATAAAAGAATCAGAAGTATATGTTTCAGAGACCACAGAGAAAATACCAAAGCAGGACACTGATGAGACTTGTGATAAAGATATTCAGCAGGACCTTTGTCTAGAAACTTCAGTCACTGAGACCGAGACAGCCAGGCTCATGGGAGCAAGATGTGAAGAGCAGTCTCCAGAGACCAATTGTGAGGCACCAGTAGAGAAGAAAACCCAGGACTGTCCAGAATGCGTACCTCAGTTGTTTTCTAGTCCTAATGTATTGGTACCCATGGATGTTCTGGAAGATCAGGGATCTATCCAGACTCTCCATTTGCAGAAAGACACATCAAATGAGAAATTAAGGTTACTTCCTGTAGTAGACGACTGGGACAAAAAAGTTGAAAGTTTATTGAATGAAATAAAAGAGGCAGATTCAAAACTCAATTTACAGGAAGTACAGCTAAAGATCAAGATTGAAACATGCATGCAATTGGAAAAAATAGTCAAGGACCTCAAGAAAGAAAAATCTGACTTAAGTGAAAAATTGGGATTCCTTCCTTGTAACCAGGAGGTACGTCAGAGAGTAGAAAGTTCAGAAGACCATGGTTTTGACTTAGAATCGGGAACAAATGAGTTAAGTGACACTATTAAAGATAATACAGCCAACATAGAAGATGATTGGAAGGAAAAGTTTTTTGATGTGGAAAAGGAACTGACCAGGATCAAGTCTGAGAAAGCTAATATTGAACATCTCATCCTCTCTGTGGAAGCTGATTTAGAGGCGGTTCAAGCAGAGAAGCTGTGTTTAGCAAGAGACACTGAGAGTAAGCAGAAGGTTATTGTTGACCTCAAGGAGGAGCTTTTTGTAGTCATTAGTGAGAGAAACAGGCTTCGTGGAGAATTAGACACTGTGTCAAAAGAAAAAGAAGCACTTGGTCAGACATCTAAACAGATGAAAGAGAAAATAGAAGAGCTGGAGTCTCACCAAAGTGAGAAACTCCGTCACATTGAGGTGGTAGAGGCTGAGGTCAAAGACAAAGCAGAACTCCTTCAGACTTTGTCCTTTAATGTGAGTGAGCTAACAAGGGACAAAGCTCATCTCCAGGAGCAGCTGCAGAATTTGCAGAATGACTCACAGGAATTATCTTTGACAGTAGGTGAGCTGGAAATTCATATTGGAGAGCTGAAAAAAGAGAAAGAATCACTGGTCAAGGAGTCTCAGAACTTCCAGGCACAGCTGACTGAGTCAGAATGTGAAAGGCGGAACATCTCCAAGGCCTTGGAGGTAGCACTCATGGAGAAAGGTGAGTTTGCAGTGCGGCTGAGCTCAACCCAAGAGGAGGTGCATCAGTTGAGACGAGGCATCGAGAAACTGAGTGTGCGCATCAAGGCAGATGAAAAGAAGTACTTAAGTACGGAGGAGAAACTGAAGGAAAGTCAGCGTGAAAATGACTCATTGAAAGATAAAGTGGAGAATCTGGAGAGGGAATTGGAAATGTCGGAAGAAAACCACGAGCTGGTGATTCTTGATGCTGAGAATTCTAAAGCAGAGGTGGAGACCCTCAAGGCACAAGTGGATGAAATGACCAAAAACCTGAGAGTTTTTGAATTAGACCTTGTCACAGTTAGGTCTGAAAAAGAAAATCTGACCAGGCAACTACAGGAGACACAACATCAAGTGTCAGATCTGGATGAATTGTGCTCTTCCTTTAGAAGTCTGTTGGAAGAAAAGGAGCAGGCAAGAGTACAGATGGAAAAAGACTCTAAATCTACAGTGCTGATGCTTCGGACACAATTAAAGGAGTTCAGTGAGGAAGTAGCAGCCTTGTGTAATGATCAGGAAATTTTGGAGACCCAAGAACACAGTCTAGACCAGCCAGAAGAAGAAATGCACCGCTTGAAGAGCAGCATTCAGAAGCTTAAAGTTCACATAGATGCTGATGAAAAGAAGCAGCACAACCTCCTCGGACAACTGAAGGAAAGTAAGCATTATGCAGACTTGCTTAAGGATAGAGTTGAGAACCTTGAACAAGAATTGCAGCTCTCAGAGGAAAAGAAAGAGCATGTGACTCTTGAAGCTGAGAATGCCAAAGCAGAGATACAGACTTTAAAATCAGAAATACAAGGAATGGCTCAAAACATCCAAGATTTGGAGTTAGACCTTACTAATACAAGGTCAGAAAATGAAGATCTTATGACAGAATTAAAACAGGAACAAAAGCGAGTTTCTGAATTAGAAACAATAAATTCTTCGATTGAAAACTTAATGAAAGAAAAAGAGCAAGAAAAGGTACAGATGAAAGAGGAATCCAAAATAGCAGTAGAGATGCTTCAAACTCAATTGCAAGAACTAAATGAGACAATGATTTCCTTGTGCAATGCCCAAGAGGCTTATAAGACCAAAGAACAGAACCTGAGTGGTCAAATAAAAACTCTTGAACTTGAGAAGGCCCAGTTGCTACAGGACATTGGCGAGACCAAGAATAAATACATTGTTTTGCAGTCTTCTGTAAATGTCCTCTCTCAAGAAGTAAAAGCTGGCAAAGAGAAGCTAGAAAAGAAGGAGGGAGAGGTCAGGACACTGGAAGATCAACTTAAAGGTCAAGAGCAGCTTGCATGTAAACTTTCCCAGTTGGAAGGAGAGCAGCAACTCTGGCAGAAACAGAAACTAGAACTGGGAAATCTGAATGTGGAGCTGGAGCATAAGGTCCAAGTACTGCAATCCAAAAACACCGCTTTGCAGAGCACCTTTGAAGCCCTGCAGAATTCTCACAAGCATTTAGAAAGTGAGGTTGGATTGTTGAAGATGCAGAAAGTATCACTTATCCAAAGAGTAAGTGCCCTGATTTATTTCCATGTAGAAAGGAGGGAGGGACTTCCAGATGGTTCTGTGACTTTGTGTTTATAGTGTCTTGACTACAGGAACATTGAGTCAGCTCAAGCAGCAGTGATTGCCCTGATGTACTTGTAAGAGACATTTTGTGTGTGAGTGTATGTGTATGAATTGGATTAGGTTTTTGATGGGATCGCTTCATGGAAATCTTGGGGTCCTTATCTGTAGTTCGGGTTCCCTGAGATGGAAACATTCCCCTATCAAGCTGAGAACCACTGTGACAAGAGTAACAGATAATGATTAGGGTCTGAAGGCAGACCCTGCCCTTTGCACCTTAAGGAGAAAGAATACCTAAAGATATTTATGTAGTTAGGACTAGTGGAACATTCATGGCTCCTAGGGTGTGGCTTGAGAAAAATCAGCCTGATCAAGAAAGGGATTCCTTTGAATTAAATTTTTTTTCAACATTCAAAGGAATGTCCAGAAAATTAAGTCTATCACAACTATATTTTTCAGGATTTGTATTTTTATAACTTTAATCCTTGGCATGTTTTATTGGATTAGAGTAGCATGTTGCGATTAGTAGAGCGCTAAGAGCAGATAAGAATCTAAGGTACTAAATACAAAAAACTAAGGCACTCTCTCAAAACATTGATGATCCTAATTCAAATTGAAGCCTTTGTAAAGGGTCTTGAGAGTTAGAAATATTATCTGCTTTCTTTTCTTACTGCTGTTTTAAATCTGTGCCGAAAAGAAATGGAAACTCACTAGTAGGTTTTGAGAAAACCAAGTGAGTGGATTAGTAGGGCGATTCAGCCAGGTCCATTTTCTTAAACTGTGTGTTGTAACAGTGTTTATTCACAGCAGACCACCCAGAGCAGGTACTAATGAATATTAAATTCCAGGTCAACACAATGACTGGAAAGGAAGCGGAGCTACAGAGGGAGCTGCATGAAATGGTACACAAAACAACAAGGCAGAAAGAAGAATTCAATAAAGAGAAAAACAGGCTAACTCAAGAATTAAAAATACCAATGGAAGAACTAAAGAACCTCAAAGTAAGAGTCCTCATGACAGACTTGTTATGCTCTGCTAATTTGGCATGCCTACTTGTTGGTTGTCTTTGTAAGGCATTCTGCAGTGAGTCAAACTTTGTTTCAGGTTTTGAAACCCAAGCTTAGTGCTCAGATTTGTAGTGATATTTACTATTTAACACTGTCATCAGCCTAGGAGTCATGTGATGCTGGAAAAATCCCAAGCCTACACTGGCCATCAGGGAGACTCCAGCAGCTGAATAGAGAAGGTGTTTGCTTTATGAATTTTGAGATGTTATATTTTAAACATAACTCTACTGTCTGCTGCTTTAATGTGTTTTAGTTGTTTTTTCTATATACTTGTAAAATGAAATTCAAGGTTTTAAATGAAATTACATGTGCTTTATTTATAGGTAGAGCATCATAAATATGTGAATCAGCTTGAGAAGGAATTTCAGCGTGCTCAGGGGAAAATAAAATTGTTGCTCAAATCCTGTAAACAGCTGGAAGGAGAAAAGAAGATGTTGCAGAAAGAAATCTACCAACTTGAAGCTGCCCAGAAGCAGAAAACTGGTGGGTACTAGCTGGGGCATATTGGTTACCAGAGGCTGTCTTGTGGGAGTCAGCACTTATGGGGGAAAACCTGAATTGATGTGGGATTTCCCTTTGTATACTGTGAATATCATTGACCAATTTAAAGGAACTGCTTTGGGCCTATAGCAGAGCTCTAGGGTAACAGAGCTAGGTGGGGAAAACTAAACTGAATGTTGGGAGAAGGAAGGCGGAGAGAGGAGAAGCCATGGAGCCCTGCTGGGCAGAACTTTACCTGGTAAGCCACAGCCACATGGTGATACACAGATTAATAGAGATGTGTTAAATTAATATGTAAGAGTTAGCCAATAAGAAGCTAGAGCTAATAGGCCAAGCAGTGATTTAAATAATACAGTTTCTGTCTGGTTATTTTGATTCTCGGCAACTGGGACAAACAAGCCCTCCTTGGAATACTGAATGGTACCTTTGGTACATACCTCTTTCTAATGGGTATCCATAAAGAATATGCCCTTCGGGACTGTTTGAGTAGTTCTGTTCTTTTCCTTTCCTTCCCTTCCCTTCTTCCTTTCCTTTTCTTTTTTCCTTTTCTCCTTCCTTCCTTCCTTGCTCTTGGTAATTAAATATGCCACGTTATCCACCCACACAGTCTGCTTTCTTTATGGATAGCCAGTGGTTGGTATGTGTGGGAGGCTTCTAGACAGAGTGTGATTGGAGTATGTTTTGGAATCTGGGAGTTTTCCTCCTAAATTGATCGCCACCCCTGGTGTCTAGAATCTGACAGAGGCCCCTGCCTTGATGTGGTTCTTCTACATTTGTACCTCCTAGTCCCTGTATTCTCTCAAAATGTTGTTATAGCCTAAAGGGACTTGCATTTTCACAGGCTGGCACTTGTCCCCAAAACCATACAATATAGACATTACGATCATTATTGAATTATATCGCGTATTCAGTTGTGATAGAAAGAATGGGTGGGAAAAGGGGAGATATAAGAAGTTAATTTGCTTGATCTCTTTTAACTAATTCTATAAGGGGGTTTAAGTTTTGATGGGTTTTATTCAACCTTATCTACTAGATTGTGCTTCATAGTCTTCAGATAGTAACAAATGTTGGTTCTTAACTCCTGGAAAAGTTCAAAGAACAGGCTTAAAGGCTGGGAATGGTCTATAATAGTAACTGGGAGCAGCAGCAAGTTGCATGTGATGTGTCACTTTGTTTTCCACAGATTCTGTTGTGGGTGATAATGTAGCTAAATTAATGACTGAAAATAAAGAGCTGAAAGAGACACTTGAAGAAAAAATCAAGGAGGCAGATAAGTACTTGGATAAATACTGTTCCCTGCTTATCAGCCATGAGGAGTTAGAGAAAGCCAAGGAGATACTAGAAATACAAGTTGCTCGTCTGAATTCACAGCAATCCAAACGACATCTCCACAATTCTCCTTTGCTGGATTCTTCAGTTTCAGTGTCTCCCACTACTTCTGTGAGTAAGAAGACAACATCTGGCCAAAATAAAACTTCAGGCAAGAGGCACAGGTCCAGCGGAATCTGTGAGAATGGTTGTGGGGCAACACCCTGTACGCCAGAGACATTTTCTAAAAGAAGCAGGAAAGCAGTCAATAGTAGTGTTCACCCTGCTGAGGACAAGGAAGAGCCTAAGTTTGAGTTGGAGGGACTACCAGATGTCGTAAAAAAAGGTATGTATAGTTGACAGACAGAGTCACGGCTGTGGGTGTAGACCGTGTGCTTAGCTTGCTTGTGGCCCTTTATTCAATTCCTAGCATTAAAACACAAAAGTTTGAAATTTCACATAAAAATCGGTATGTGGAAAGATAGAAACTTTTACTTTTTAGATTTTCCAATTATCGTATAATAGTCCTAACTGCCTGGAGAGACTAGTCCATTTTTAAATTGATGATAAAATAAGTGTCTAAAATTAACATACAACATTATACAACTAAGAGACCAACACTACAAAAAGAGCTGGTAGATTTGAAAAATGACTGCTAAAAATCTGTTTGAAATTCTTTTTATAATCACCTTTTTCTTTCTTGAGTTGTGAGCTGGACAAGTGGGCTGGTTGACACTGACTGGAAGTAAGAGTTAAGACTTCTCATAACTATGTAATAATTATTGCAGTCTCTAAGACATAAGCAGATTTTCCTTCCTATTATTTCTGTCTTTATTTTTAATTCTCTTTGATACTTTAAGACAGAATCTTACTGTGTAGTCCAGGCTGGTCTTGATCTTGAAGCATTTCTGTCTTAGCCTCTTTGTGCTAAGATTATAGGCAGGTGCCATCATACCCAGCTTCAGTCATTTAGTTATAAGAAAAAAAAATCAGCCAGGTGATGGTGGTGCATGCCTTTAATCTCAGCACTAAGGAGACAGAAACAGGTGGATCTTTGTGAGTTCAAGGATTGTCTACAGAGCAAGTTCCAGGACAGCCAGGGCTATACTGAGAAACCCTCTCTCTAAATAAATAAATAAACAAACAAACAAACAAATAAATAAATACACACATAGCAGGTTGGATCTTTTGTCCTACTCATTGACAGCAAAACTGTTTGGAGGAGTTATATTCTGGTAACCGTGATTCCAAAGTATTTAGCTAACTCACTCTCTTGTAGACGTATTCGTAAGAGATTAAGAGTATTGCCTGTAGTCAGATCTGAATGCCTCTGTGGAGGGCCCTGTGATAGTCTTTGTGGCTAGCCTTCTCTTGTCACCATTCAGATCACTTCCTTTCCTGGAAGGAGACAGCAGAGTGAGCAAATACAAAGACACTCTTAGAAGTGAGCCCTAAAGTCACTGTCAGTTTACATCCTAGTTCAATTGTATTAAATGTCCTGCCTATCTTAAAAAGTGCAAGATAATGCAACCATGTAGAAGAAGCAAGATTTCTGTTTTTAAAAAATGAGGTTCTCCCTGATCCTTTTTCCCATCATGATGTATTTTAAATCTTTTATCTCTCTAGTTAGGATTAACCTGTTAATTTCCTAGTTCATTTGATGACCACCAAGGCAATTATGTAGTTTAATACATTGTTTTCTATGACTGAACAGAAACTATGTTTTCTAGTTATTTTTACCATTATTGAAACTTGGTACATAAAAAAGCACCTGAATTCCCATTGCTAGCACAGCTAAAACAGAAAGTCCCTAGTGAATGCCATTTCTGACAAGCAACTCTTTTGCCCTTAGGGTTTGCTGACATTCCTACAGGAAAGACAAGTCCATATATCCTGCGGAGAACAACCATGGCAACCAGAACCAGTCCCCGCCTTGCTGCACAGAAGTTAGTGGGATCTTCCCCAACACTTTTGAGCAAAGAAAACATTGCAGAATCCTCAAAACCAACAGCTGGTGGCAGCAGATCACAAAAGGTAATCTGTGAATGTCGTTTCCTGCCTGCCATCCTGGAAATCTGTTAGATGGCCCAGGGCTGGCTGCTGCAGTGTGAGCCGGAGTGAGCAAGTCCAAGGATATACATCCTCTACCCAAAGGCTGCTTGTACATAGCTTCCTAGAAAGCGGTGCTATTACAGGAAGCTCAGTACATTTCTAAGTTTCAAGCATGGCTTAAATAGTTGTAAGAGGTTGTTTCCCTTTGGGCCATAGCGTTGGCCATTTTGGATTTCTCACTCTATTTATCTTCCTTTCCGGAACATCAAAGCTTCTGGTTCTCTGTGACCTTTCTTCTCTACATTGTACAAAAGGTGGAGAGTATTTACTCAGCTGGTTTGTATTCCTGATACTGTAATTCACGCTAGCAGCTCTGTTTCTGCACACAAGTACATGTGTTTTACCTTCTTTTTAAATCCCAGGCTTGGCTTGAACTCCTGATCTCTCTGCCTTCACCTCCTGAGTGCTGGTATTACAGATGTGCACCACAGCTCCCTGCTGGTGCTTTGTGCACACTAACTACACTTATGTTACTTAACTCAGTTATACTTGCTGATCTCCTACACTGGTGTGGTAAAAGAAAGGAGGTGACATTCCTGAAAGATTCAAACCTCCCCAGGCTCACACGCTCTTTTACAACTCGTTTGTATTTCTCAAACTGGCAGCCATGGAAATATTCTTTGCAATTTCTAAAGTAACTTCAGGAAGTTTTAAAATTTTGTGATGTTATCTTGCTTACTTGTCAGAATTTAAGTATGTAGTTGGATAATCTTCAACTAGCAAAAACAAAAAACAAACCCCAAAGTTTTCATAAATGTGTTGAGTGATAGTTGTTAGCACAAAATCTAGAAACACTGGTGATTAGTTGTATCAAGACAGCAACACATTGCAAATTGGTTTGTTTTGATTGATGTGCAGATGCTGTATATAGTTAAGCCTTGTCATATTTTTCTGATAGCTATAAGTGAAAGTTAATTTAACAGTGAGGAAGGGTGTAGGAGGAGGGCCTGCTTGTTCTTCCTGGCTGCCCGGCTAGCTTAGCCCCAAAATAACCACACAGAAACTGTATTAATTAAAACACTGTTTGGCCCATTAGCTCTAGCTTCTTATTGGCTAACTCTTATATTAATTTAACCCATTTCTATTAATCTGTGTATCACCACGTGGCTGTGGCTTACCCGCAAAGATTCTAACCAGCTTCCGTCTCAGGTGGAGGATCCATGGATCTCTCTGACTCTACTTTCTTCCTCTCAGAATTCAGCTCAGTCTTCTTTGCCTACCTAAATTCTGCCCTGTCAGGCCAAGGCAGTTTCTTTATTCATTAACCAATACAAACAACACACAGAGGGGACTCCCACATCAGAAGGGTCTTCATATTTCCATACACTGGGGATGGAGCTGTCCACTCTTTTTTTTTTTTTTTTTTTTTTGAGCTGTCCACTCTTGATGCTAGAAGTAGTATATCATCCTGTGCAGTTTTCTCCTTCCCTTCAATTAATGTCTCTGTTTCCCTCTCTGTCCCTTATAGTCAACTGTTGGCCCTGTCAACAGTACTGGAGTTCAGTAAAGTAGACCCTGACTTCCCTGACTGATAAGGAAAGCTCTGTGAAGTAGAAGGTTCCCTGAAGGAGTGAAGCTGGGAACCTTGACTAGAGCTGTTGGCCATGGGATAGCCACAAGGGAATCAGGTTTAGAATCTGGTATAGACTGCCATTTTCTACACAGGTGATAAGGAGCTCCCCTCACCCCTCAGTTTAAAAAAAAAAAATTTCGACTCCTTCCTTTCTGAGACTTATGTGATACAGATGTTTTGTATGTTAGGCTCCCCTACCACAGGAAACCAGGCACTAAGCTTATATCTGGACTCCGTTGTCTGTTTGTAGCACTTGCTCAAATGTCTGTCTTCTGATTTACAGTATGGAACTAGTTATATCTGGTTTGTCTTTGTCATCATGTCCAGCAAAAAGTCTTGACATCTAGCAAATGTTTGTGGAATGCATGGAGCTGTGAATATTATCTTGAAGTGACTTTAGTAATGTGATTTTTATAAAGATAGGAAACTGTCCTGTGAAGTCACCACAGGGCCTTTTCTTTTTTTCTTTTTTTTTTTCCTTTAGAGGAATTGATGGTAAAAGCAGTTTGCATGTGGTGTTCAGATTTATTACCTAGGAGAAGAGTTTTGCACACTAGGGGGCCTGCACTCTACACTGCTGTGGAGCCTGCTGGTACTGGGCAGTAACCATGGTTTCCTGCAGATTTGTGTTCTCTGCATTAGCTACATGCAGTCTAGTTGGCACCAGCAGTTATGAATTACAAAGCAGTTTTGTGCACTTGAAGAATGGCAGGGGTCCTCTTGAAAAGAGGGTCTAGGAGACTTTATGATTAGAGTCACATTTTAAAAACACAGCCTAGTCATTTTCACTTTAAGTCAGCATTTTCTGAGATGCTCTGTAAAAAGTACTTTCAAGTATGTTTCATCATTTAGTTTAAAAAGTACAGAACAAGATTTTCTTTACTAAAGCAGGTGCTTTGACACTCAAAATTGTAAATTCTCACCTAAGGTCAGAGCTGAGTTCAAGGTATTGAAAAAATGGGTAAGATGCATTGGGTGTATTGTTCTGTTCATTAAGTCTTTGAGATGAGGAAGCCCAGGAAACCCTAGTCTGCTGGAAACAAAGGAGCTGCTGTTTATAGGCTTGGTTCCCTGATTGGTTCTGCTTGGTGGGCTGGCCACTAGAAATTTTAAGGCTCACATGGATGGTAGTGATGCCTTGAGCATAGGGTCAGTTAACAGCTCTTTGAAGACATTGCATCCCCACCCCTACCTCCATCCGCTGCTATAGTAGGGTTCATTTCTATCAAGCCACCTATATCTCTATTCTCTCCCTGTTCTGGCTGCAGACTTTGCTGGTGAGATGGGTAGTAGCACTGTCTGAGAGATTCAGGGCCTTGCTTGGCTTTGAACCATTCAGAAAGCAGATGTCTACATGAGCACCACACTCACACTGTACTCACAGAGTGTCACTGACTCAGTTCCATGTCACAAAAGCCAAGGAACGCACTGTAGTCACTTCCTTAGTTCCTTATCTCTGTGAGCCCTCATTCTCCCTCGTTTTCTCTGTCGCTGAGTGAACCTAAACACTTGTGACTAATAGATTCCAGGGACACCCTTGTCTTGGTCTCACTGCTTTTTATAAAAAGGAAAAAGAAGGATAGTTCCAATAGAACTTTCCCTTCAACTTTTCACACGTGGTAATTTTCCACCAGCTCCTGGTCTTAGGCTGCTGATTTGTCCATGTCCTGTGTACCTGATCTGAGATAGAAACAGGATTTCTAATTCACTGTTTTTTTTGTAATGCAAAGTATTCCGACTGCCCTTTAAAGTCACGTGCTTCTTGTAGAGGAAATATAAATGGAAAAACAACCTCCATTCTTTTTTCCTATTTCAAAATAGTACCTGAAAGTCTTTCTTAGGGAGTGTCTGTCATATAGTTATTTTGGGGAAACTGCACTAAAGACCTATCTGTACTTGCAAAATAGCCATTCTTTTAAAATTTTTTATTTATTATCTTTTTCTTTTTGGAGGATGAGGAGTAGTACTGGATAGAATTGAACATAGGACTTTGTGCATTTAGGCAAATTCTCTACCACTGAGCTCTATCCCCAACCCTCCTTTTAATTTTTAAGACAGTGTCTAGCTAAGTTACCTGGCTGTCCTGAATCTACTCTTTAGCAAGTTCAAACAGGTCTTGAAAATTGCTTATCCTCTTCCCTTAGCCTCCTGAGTATCTAGGTTGGCAGGCTTCACTAGGCCCATTAGGTGACTGGCTGGTTTTTGTTGTCAATTTTTTTTTAAAATTTATTTATTTATTATGTATACAGTGTTCTGTCTGTTTGTATGCTTGCTGGACATGAAGAGGGCACCAGACCTCATATTACAGATGGTTGTGAGCCACCATGTGGTTGCTGGGAATTGAACTCAGGACCTCTGGAAGAACAGTCAGTGCTCTTAACCTCTGAGCCATCTCTCCAGCCCCTTTTGTTGTCAATTTTGTTTTGTTTTTAGCTGCATCTCACTGTTGTGCAGGCTAGTCTTGAACTGATCTCAAGTCTTTTCACCTTGCTGGTCCATTCTTCTGAAGATCTTGTATATGAAACTTCCATTCTTGCTTTTAACTTTTTACCTTGCTTTTTTGTACTTCCTTGTCACTTTATTTTGGGGCAGGGTCTTTTTTTTGGTCTGGAGCTCGCCAAGTAAAATAAGCTGTTGAGCCAGCAGTCCCTAGAGCACTGTCATGCCTTTAATCCCAGCCCTAGAAAGGAATATAAGACAGGAGGAGACAGCTCTCACACAGTCTCATTCTGAGATTCCTGGAGGCAGGCTCACCATTTTAGGCTGGGGTAGAGGTAAGAGCCAGTGGCTGGCCCTTTTGCTTTTCTGACCTTCAGGTTGAACCCCAATATTTGTCTCTTTATTAATCATGCTATACCACACTTGCTTGGGAGCAGGGCTCTGGTTGTCACTGGTGTCAAGAGAAGCTTAGGACTTGTTAGAAAGGGGTATTTTAGCTCCTTTTAGGTGACTTCTGCTTTCTAGGAGGAAGACAGTTTCATCTCTTGGGAGTGGGAATGTGACCAGGACTGATGGTACAGACCTCCAAGTCTACCAGCGAGGAAGGCTGAGGCAGGAGGATCACAAGTTCAAGGTCCCTCTGGGCTATAGAATGAGTTTATGGCTAGTCTGGGCAACTAAGTGACCCTCTATTTCAAATCCAAAGTAAAAATTATATATGCCACTTGCATGGCATATATAATGTCCTTGGTTCAGTCTCCAGTAGAACAAAAAAAATGACAACCACTGAAAAATGTGAATGTGATTTTGAACCTCTAACAAATTGTGTATGTTGCAGGTCAAGGTTGTTCAGCAGAGCTCGGTGGAGTCACACACTGCCTTCCCAGAACGCCCACAGAAGTCTCTCACAGCCAGTAATGTTCCTGGGAAAAACTCTGCAGAGAGCCCCAGGGAGGGCCTGAGGGTCAAGCGGGTCAACCCTGCCTCTAGCCCAGCTGCTGGGGCTGACCCAACAAACGAGAACTGCCGTGTACAGTGAGATGTCAGGGTTCCAGAAGGTGTCAGTCAAACCATTCTTCCTGTGGGGACCTGACTTGAGCTAAGAGCACTTTGTCATGGGAGAATAGACCGTTATGGTCTATGTGTGGCCTTGAGGTCTCTGAATGTAAGATGGGAAAAGTCTGGAAGCACCTATTACATAGTCTTTGTTCTTAACCACGGCTGTAAATAATAGTGTATAGAGCTTGAGAATTTGCTACAGTTAAATAGAAAGCACCACAATGATTTGTATGTGTGAATTTTACACTTAGAAAACCCTGCAGTGATTTGATTTAGGATCTTCCATGTAAAGTGTAAAATAGTTGTAGATAAGAATTTTGCTGAGTAAAATGAGAAGAACCTATGTGAATGTGGTATGCTCATTCTTTCAGTGTGTTTTATAACCTCCTGCTCATTTAACCTGTAATGTGTGGGGGGCATTGGGAGTGTGTCTTTATTTCTAGTTAGTCTAATTGTTGCAGACACCTTAGAAGTGTGGTATAGATCATGTTTATATTCACTGTGTTTTTCTTATTAAAGTCATCATAGTTCTTTTGGTATACATTGCTGTATCTAGTGATATATTAAAATATGTTCTCAGAAAAACCTTTTCGTAAAAATTATTTCCTAAGTATAAAAGCATTGTGACTTGTGGCACCATGTCATATTAAGATATTTGAATGATTGGCACATATCTTTGAATGCATGATACCAGTATGCTTATTGGACATGAAACATACTTTGAAATGTTGGTCATACAAGTGGTATGAGAATATGGATGTGTCCAACTGTCTGATACCCTGTGCTCCTTAAATCACATCAGCAAAGGTACAAGAGTGGAATGTTTCCATCCATTTGTTGAAAAGTTGGAGGTATTTGACCCACATCAGATAAAATCTTTGACTAAGCCTCTTTGCCTTTGAATAAGAGTAAAAAGGTTTTCAGGATTTAAATTAGTAGATAATTTGTTCTTGACTTTCAGTTCAGATTGCTTCAAAGTCATTTTAGATTTTAATAATGTCTCTAACAAGTAGTTCCATGTAGACTGACTTTTCTTTCCCACCTGCCAGTTTCCAAATAACTGATACGGAAACTTAATATTAATTATAAATACTGGACTGATAGCTCTGGCTTATTACTAATTAGTTTTCATAATTTAAATTAACCCATTTCTATTAATAACTGACAGGGAGATTTAATTATAAATGCTCAGCCGATAGCTCAGGCTTATTACTAACTAGCTCTCACAACTTAACCCAGTCAGATAATAGGGGTTAAAACTGAAAGATCAGAGAAGCAGAGTAGTCAGCTACCAGAGAGTTCTTAACCTCTATCAATGTGTAGACAAAAAGGGCAATACTGTCTCTTCAAAATCTCAGACTGCATCCCAGACTGAATCTTCAGGCTACATCTGAGCTCCTGTCTCCTCCTGCCTTATAGTCCTCTCTCCCCCTAGCCATATCACTCCTGTCTCCACCTCCCTAGTGCTAGGATTAAAGGTGTGTGATCTCAGTGCTGGGATCCCCCTTTTATGAGCTGTTTCTCTTAGATTCAATCTCGTGTAGCCCAGAATGGCTTTGAACTCACAGAGATCCACCTGCCTCTGGCTCCTGAGTGCTGGGATTAAAAGTGTGTGCCACTGCCTATCCTCTATGGCTAACTAGTGGCTGAACTTTGCACTCTGATCTTTAGGTAAGCTTTATTTGTTAGATTACAAACAAAATATCACTACAATATGGCTTGTGGCTTTACCTGTCCTCTAGCATGTCTTTCTCCCTTTGCTTCTCCTGATGACTCCTCTGATTCTGCCTCTCTAACATTCTCTTGATCCCTAAAATTCTGCCTAGCCATCAGCCAATCAGCTTTTTATTAACAATGAGAGCAATATAGATTTACAGTGTACAAAGATTGTTCCATAGCAGCTCCACTGTTGGAAGATAAACCACCAGCATTAAGACGAATGGTGTCCATCTCCTGAAAGTGCTGGCACAGTACCAAACCTTCCCAAGGAGCAACTGCTGGGGTCAGGCCAGCAGCTGTAAGGAATGCCTCCAGTGATTGATTCCACACAGGTGTTGCTGAATACTTCCCAGAGTCCTCTTTTTGTTGGTCCCCCATACCTGCTTTTGTGACATTGAATACTTCTGTTACTGGAAGCAATGGATTCATTCTTTGTCAAACTTAGGGTAAAGAATGGTTTATTAGTTGCAGCAGGTGAGGAGCATGTTGAAGATGGTTCTTAAAGCAACATCTGAAACAAAAGCAAAAGGCTTTCATTGGCCAATACCAGTTCTGTGTGGGCACATTCCTGAGCAAGATTGTAATGACTGTCCCACTGTGTAGCCTGACTGGCTTAGAATTCATCTGCCTGACTGTGTCTCTGAAGTACTGGGGTTAAATGCTTGTGCCACCATGCCTAGTTGGTCAGTACTTAAAACTTATTTATGATCCCTTTTCACATGAGACTGTACCTGGTATATAAAATAGTATTCAGATGTTGCTGATAAAAGTGAAGTTTATTTGAAGCTGGGGATGTAACTCAGTGTTCAAGTTTGTGTAGTATGTCCAAAGAATGAAGTTGGATCCCCGTGCTACCAGCAAAGCAAAACCTAAAACCTTTTGGTGTACTTATCATTTAACCAGATTTAACCTTCTTTTTTTTCAAAGAAGCAATTTTGCTTCCCAATGAGATGAATGAGTATATTTTACATAAAGAATGAAGTCTTAGCTGAGCATTTGGTACTGCAGGATGTTAAGAGCATTCACTATTTCCCTGAGTTGACTGATGCTTGTATTTTATAATCATCAGTGGGGAACACTGCTTCACATAAATATGGAATACAAGATGCCACAAAGTGCATTCAGAGCCATTTCAGAAATATGAATTCTGTCTCAGTCTGAAGCCAAAGTTCATGGGGGTGGGGGGAGAGCAGATGCTTGCTGTGGCATGTGAGCCCAAACGGGCGCACATACTGAAGTAGTACAAATTTAAAATCAATCCAAAGATAACCACCAATTTGATACATGCTAAAGAATGATCGTAGGAAAATACTAAGTCTGTTGTCTGCAATTGTTTTTATAAGAGCAGAAACCTTGATGGACAGTGTATGTAATAGTGTTGAACCTGAGCTGTAGTGGTGTAACCTCTACCCCAGTTGAGTTACACGAATTGCCACCCCATTTTAAAAGTTGTGCTTAGGTCTCAATAACAGCTAGGTGACCCTGGTTTATGGTTCAATGTCTTTGGACTGCATAGCCTGAAAGTTAATACCACTAAACCTGTGCTTTGCAAAGAAGTGTAATCACAGATTTGTGTATAGCATTCAATTGTTGATCATGCAAATGAGCCATTACACTTTTTTTCATTTTTTGTTTGACTCATTAAAAATACCCAAAGAAAACAATTACTACAATTTTACTTAGAATGAGTTATGCTCTTTAAGTTCAAATTTAAATTGGTTGTTTAGAACTCAGAATAGATTGTCTTATAGAAACAACGTTGTAAATTGTACCTAAAGTGAAGTGGAAAGCAAATTTAGCTCATAATATGTCAAAATGGCAATTTGATTTGTGGCAACTGTACAAACCTTCATTCACAGTGCTGTGGAAAACAGGTTTTAAGAATGAGGTTGCCCGAGACTCTTTGCTTTCCCATAATCTTTTCTGCTATGTGCCCCCACACTTCTCTTCCTTTTTTTTTTTTCGTGTGTGTGTGTGTGTGTGCCAGTTCTCAGGAGTAGCATAATGGTCTCAAGATAGACAAATGAGATGCAGACTCATGTCTGCCACCTTGCCAGCTCAGCAGCTGCTCCCAGAAGGGAGCAATGGCCTTAATCTTGGCTCTGACATTGTAGTCAAAGGCAACCCCCTAATGCTGGCATGTCTGTGGGTGTTCATGGTGGTGGTTTATTTTGTTGGTGTGATACTAACTAGCATGTGTGCATGCACCTGGAATTGACTTACTTTGTTGGTGTGGTGCTGGTGTGTATACAAGCACATGGACATGGTGATTCTATTGGTATAAAGCTGCTGTTGGTGTGTGTGTGCGCTTATGTGTATATGTGTATTTGATGTGAAGCTGGTGTGTGTGTGTGTGTGCACGTACAGAGATGTGGCTTATTCTGTTGGTGATTTAGGAAATCAGAGAGAGATATACCCCCAAGCCTTATATATTTTTGTTCACTTGTAGACTGAGTTCCAGCCCACAGAATTCCCACTAACCTGGCAGATGAATAAGGTTATTGTATTTATCCTTCTGCCTCAGGGTTCTCTTATGGATGACCCAGAGATTAATGTGTGAAATCATATTTGCCAAACCCTGTCCTTGCCATTTCAAATGCTTTATATCATTCATCCCCCATGACCTGGGCTCTGTTTGTTAGGCAGATTGTTTGCTTTTAAAACAAGCCAGAGAATCTATTCTTGTCCCTCCAACCCAGAACTCTCTCCCTCTCTGTTTGATTACAACCTTCTGGCGATTCAGTGATGGATCCTAGGCATCCTTGTAAGCTCTCTTTTCAGAGCTACACTCACTCTCAATCATTATCATTATTATTTTTTAACTTTTTGGTTATTTGAAATGTGATCTCACTCTGTAGTCTAGAATGGCCTGGAACTAACCTGTGTAGTTCAGGGTAGGCTCAGACTCCGTGGTCCTCTTGCTCCAGTCTCCTGAGATCTGGGATTACCGTTGTAAGTCATCAGATCTGGCCCAGGGCTTTTCATTATTTGTGTATTCTGTCTCAATAGAGAGCAAAAGCCTGCGGGTGTTTAATAACCTACTTGCTTGCCTGGCAAGTTCTTTTCAGAGTTCCACCTTGAACCTGCAGGGTATCTGTTAGGGATTTACCCAGTTGGTACGGTTGAAAATGTGACATCTTGATTCCCAGCAAAAGCGTCAGTGTAGTAGGGATGGGGAATCCAGCCCTCATTGATTTTTCTCTGGGCCTTTTTTTTTTTTTTGGTATGGGGTAAGAGAATGGAGACGTGTCCCCAGTTATAGGCATTGGGGCATTCTGGGGCTCTTGATGTCAACAGAATCTCCTGACTTGGAAGGGTAGCTGAACTACCTAGCAGAGTTCCTGGCTGTGTTCCCTCTGCCTTCTGCTAGATCTTGAAGTCCTGGGGCAGTCTACATGAAGATGGATTGTCTTAGGTACCATCTGCTTGTTGTTTTAATGGTCATCTTTTTAGAGCCAAGCCAGCAGGAAGTCATGGAAGTGCTATTCCCTGTTCCTTCCTGGGCTTGGCTGATCATGTGTAGCCTATATAGTGTGCTCCCTGAGTGACCTGGCAGTCAGTTGCCTGGGACACACAGAAAAGGAGAGAAATATCATTGTTTTGCCAGGCAAGGCGAGTGTAGACCATTTTCTTCTGAAACAGAACTCAGGGAAGAGGAATTCACATCAGAGGTCGGATGCTCAGCTGTGATGCTGATCCAGACTCAGTCTGTATGGAAATACCAGTTGTGCTTGAACTTGCATCTAGCCTGTCTTCATAATGGGGCTAATATTTCCAGAATTCAAAGCAAGTTCTTACTGAGCAGATTTGCTGCAGATTGCTCCTACCAGGCTGTTGTTTTGAAAACTAGTAGCCTAA